GCTAAGCTTCCTTCGCATGTCACAACTCACCCGTCACCTTCTCCTTGGAGTCAGAAGCTTCTGAGGTCGCTTCTCCCAGCTGACCCTGGGGCCCAGCAGAAATGCGTTCCCCAGTGAGCCTTCTAAGAAAGCGGCTATGCGGTTCATTATCGCTGTGCACAGGCTCAAGTTCAGTGATTTTCGTCACACTCACGTATTGAGCAGAAATACTCCTGAAGCTCAGTGAATTTCATCACACTCAGGTGCTGAGCAGAAATGCTCCTGAAGCTCAGTGAATTATCACACTTAGGTGTTGAGCAGAGATGCTCCTGAAGCTCAGTGATCTTCACATGTAGTGTTGAGCAGTGCTCCTGTCTTGTGCGCACATGTCGGCGAGCGCTCCCTGAAAAGAGGAAGTTGTGCTTATGCCCAAATAGAAGTGGAACCTATTCGTTGAGTGAGTCTTCTCTCCATTGAGGAGATCCTGAGAGCGTTCGGTCATTTCAGTGCTCTCTTTCCTGCAAGATGGGTTGGAGTAGGCTGTTTTCCTCCTCCCTCAAAGTGATGTGCCTCTGTTATTACTTGACGGGGGGATCAGGAGGCTTTTGTCTAGGCACTGGAAGGTGGCAGCTTTAGTGGCGTGTTCAATGGTTGATCCTCATTCAGTCGACGTCGACTACTTCTGACGTTCTCGACTGAAAGGGAACGTCCTGGTTGCGTATGCAACCCACCGTTCCCTGAAGGAGGGAACGGAGGACGTAGTCCCCTTGCCACTACCGCTGGACCACCGCTGACTCCGAGTTCCTCAGCAAAAAAAGCAACTAGTGCATGCATCTCCTTCCTTATTTATACCCGCGCTGCGGGGGCGGACTGTGTGATGTTATCACGCACGCCAAATCCATTGGCTTGTTCAATAGTACTCGAGGACTATTGGCTCCCTTGCGTGATCCCCATTCAGTCGACGTCGACTACGTCCTCCGTTCCCTCTTTCAAGGAACGGTGGGTTGCATACGCAACCAGGACGTTTTGAATGACAAATCACAGCATTGAATAGACAAATATTTTTGTATAATGACCAAATAAGTAAATAAAAGGACATGAAATGTTGATTTGACTTATAATACCCATAAAATTAGCATATCTATATAGCCAGGGACAATTATTTCATTATCATTATGCAAAAAGGTTGATCACAGTTAAAACCAAATTCTTGAAATATTCCAGTAACGTATGAATATTCTGGAATATTTGATTTCGCTCGGCCAATCACAGCATTGAGCAATAAAATATTTGTGTGTAATGACCAGAAAAAAAGAAATTCTGATTTTGAATGAATATTATTTTGTAAGAAAAACAACATAATTAGCATATCAATAGTAGAATGATAGCCAGGGACAACTATTTGACAGTCATTATGCATAAATATAAGCCAATCATTATACTAATCAGAATGAAGTATTCCAGAGATACATGTAATACATTATTATACTCTAACTATTCTAATTATGGTATCACAAGATCAAATTTGGATGTTTTTAAGGGTGAGTTTGCGTAATCAAAGGACTGTCACAGCTCACTGAAGCATGGTTGCCAAGGTGATCAAACATAATGCCTAGAAGATGCAGGAAAGGGAAGAATAGAATCAGCTTGGTCACTCTGACCCTATCAACCGAGAACTCTTGATATAAGAAGTGTGTGAGGAAAGGGCTTTGAGTACAATTCTGAGAACATTTTTATCTAGATTGGGCCGTTCCTATTAGAAATCTGCTGAAAGTTTCATTTATTGTGTCTGACAGCTATATGATTGTGCTTCACTTGTGACGTGGGTGATATCATACAGCCAAGGCTATGCAACTGTTATCAGTTGAAAAATCTGTTCAAAACTTATGGAACATGATTATAGTGGTTTGGAAAAGCAATCATCACTATTGCTTATACTTAAAGTCGGCATGAAAAAGTTGTGACGTGTATCCGAGTGAAATGGTTTCTCGAACAAGAAAAAAAAAAAAGTAGGGCGGGACATGATTTTGTCCATTGGGAAATGATTGGATGGTTGTGGTTTGCTATTGGTCAATCTCCTGTGAGTGAAAGGGTGCCCCGCCCTCATGCCAGTAAAATGTTATCAGAGAAGAGAAGAGATTTTGCTGCAAGAGGGTTATTTTGATTAAAGATTATTAGCGTGCATTAATTAATAAAAGTAATGATGTGCACGGATGAATAATTTATAATAAATACTGCAATATTCCATAAAAATAAATAAGAATAGCCAGTTTTGATTTCATGGTAACTTTAAAGGGTTAGTTCGCCCATTTAAGACATGAAGTTGTATGCAATCCTTACCAGCACTATAGGTCATACACACTGACCCACTCTGTTGTCACCTCCCTGGTCAGAGTTCTGGCCGCAGGAAGTTTTTCAATAAAGTACTCCCGGTTATTTTCCGGGGCCACAAAACTGTGCGTTTTTACGTGAAAAAATGATTTGCGTTTCACAGCTTGATTAATTTACCACACAAAAAACACGCCGGTCAAAATTCATACCTCAGTTTTAATCGGCACTATTTTCTATCCATTTCTATCAATCCGCGCTGCTGCTGTCAACGTCAACAGTGCGCACGTTCCGATCAGCTGTTCCATAGTGTTTACACAATCGATTGACAACGACGTAAAAAGTATTAAATTAGCAATTTAAAGTGCGAACTTGTAAATTCCCAGGCTGTAACCACAAGGATGTGCCGGGATCAAAGTTCAGATTCCATAGTTTTCCTGTTTCGAATATAACTAGAGAGAGCTACCGAGCATAATCTCCAACTGCTGTTAGTCGACCTCACCAGCAGGGGGTGCAAGCGCGTGTTGTTGGCTGGTTGCCATCGGCTACTCTGCGGGAGCTAAAATATCCAGAATAAAGGATTTTCGTGTGTGTAGTGCACTTCAGCGAAGACGATTACATCCCCAACCAAGGAGGAAAAGGAAATTAAGGAGTTTTGCTGTACCAGTATCACGGGTAAGCTCTATTTACTAACTTTATGATCCCATGTCTAAACTGTACGGTAAACAAGCTGATGTTTAGACTCCATTATAAAACACGTGAAAAGATGTCTAATATAAAAACAGTATAGCCTATAGGGATATTGGTACAATTTGCTGAGAAAACTATTTGATTGCAACACAAAACCTCAATTGTGTGTGTGTTCAATCAATAACATTGTCGTTGTGCTAAAATTACTTTCATCATCTGATCCGTCTGACATTGTGCTAAAATTGGTTTCATCATCAGAAGTTTCGCAGTCAGACATGTTGTCAGTGAGTCGCGCTATCAACAGCTGATCGGAACGTGCGCACTGTTGACGTTGACAGCAGCAGCGCGGATTGATAGAAATGGATAGAAAATAGTGCCGATTAAAACTGAGGTATGAATTTTGACCGGCGTGTTTTTTGTGTGGTAAATTAATCAAGCTTTGAAACGCAAATCATTTTTTCACGTAAAAACGCACAGTTTTGTGGCCCCGGAAAATAACCGGGAGTACTTTATTGAAAAACTTCCAGCGGCCAGAACTCTGACCAGGGAGGTGACAACAGAGTGGGTCAGTGTGTATGACCTATAGTGCTGGTAAGGATTGCATACAACTTCATGTCTTAAATGGGCGAACTAACCCTTTAAGGTTAAGGATCTGAACAAAATTTGATGCGTTTGACACTTGTTTACCTGTTATTTCGAACTTGTAATTCAAGAATGCTTTGGAATATAGACTTTTTGATTGGTCTTGTTTTAAAGAAGACATTGGGCAGATTTTTGTAGAAGTGAAATAAATTAAGAAAGTGAAAGTTATAGAAGTTTGAGTTTATGGAAATGTACAATGTAAAAAAAAATATTATTCATATTTTATATAAAATATATATTTTCAAAACCTGGGATACTCTAAAACTGCAGAAAAATCAAAGCCAAAAAAACTGAATAAGTTGTGTTTAAAATTTTAGATTGATATCTCAAAAAATGAGCTTTCAGTAAGATTATGTTTGGGCGCAGTACCAAACTTTTTCACTATGTCACAACCAGACTCCATTACTGCCCATATAAGGGCGCCTCCATTTCCATATGTGTTTTGAGTGATCTGAACCATTATTTCCACAATTTTCATAAAATGTATGAAGTAGACCTCCTATTCAGAAGTAGTATGGGAAGTTTGTCAGATTTTGATATGAATTCAACCTCTTAGAAACACATACAAAGAACACGCATGTGCGTTAGCTAGCTCGCTGCCACACCACAAATGGTGAATTTATTATTTTTTTCTTTATATTTAAAACATTTTCAGACCGTTTTTCCTAAAATAATTGAATGGATGCTATCTTTTGAACTCTTGGCATGAAAACAAACTGAGGTTTCTACCATTTTTTCATGATTTTTCATGTTCATTGCTATTTCAAAATAAAGGCCTGAACACGCCTTAGGAGTATGAAAATATTCTTGTTGCAAATTGATAAATTACGGCTCCTCTGTAATTTATTTTGAAAATCAGTCACCAAATATGGAAACTACAGATTGTAAGCTTTCAATGATATATAGTTTGTCAATATTACTTAAGGTTTTTACTATTGTTTTGTTTTGGACGGTGACTTAATCAAGTACATCGAAAACCAGAACATTGCTTTTATCAGCCAAACATAAAAAACCCCCCGAATATTACCCAAATGACTCTTTGAAAAGATAATTAAACTTGACTCCTCGCAACATTAGACTCCTGGACTACATAATGCTTGAGTGGAAAATCACTTGGTGTGAAAAAGTGTGCTTTGTTGTGTGGAAATGAGCTTCAAAGAGAGCTCTTAACCGGCCTTCTGCAACCAGGCACACAAGTACAGGATGTTCACATCACATTAATGAGTGACCTCAAACAAAGATGATTTACAATATAAAACCAGTCTATTTTCTTAGTCAGGTTTTTTTTTTTTTTTGCTTCTTAAGTTCAGACATCACAGACAGTTTCAGTTGAATTATGAAGCAGACAGATACTTTAGTACATATTTTCATATTCAGTCTGGAAACAAATTGCTTGTCAACAATGTGTAACATCTGTGTAGATAAATTAGAAGGACATCGTCTTTCTTCCCATTCGTGCTGAACACATTCTGTGGAGCATATATCTGGAGCATGTTAGATAATATTACAGCACTTTGTTTCATTACCTCATCCATGACTACCAGGTCCCTACCATGATATTTCGGTGACTTCGCCCATCAAACTTTCACCTGAGACTATTCAATTTTATGTCATTGACTTGTAAGGTAAGTAATTAACTTCAGATTCGATTTAATATAGACTGTCTCTCAAAAATGATTAATAAATAAAAGGCAGCACAGTTCAAGGGCATTTAGTGAACATATAGGCAATATAGTTTAATTAAATATAGTATGATTTCTAAATCAAGAAAAGCATTTATTTAATATTATAGATATCATAAAATAAACCTTATAATTAATAAAGCATTTATTTCAGACTGAGTGTTGTTTTTATATTTAGGAATAAGTCGCTGGAACAGTTTTGTACAGCCTCTCACCACAAGGAGGAAAACATAGAGACGGTTATACGCCACAGATCACAACTTCCAACCAAACAGAGAGGACGCATCTCGCCGGCCAGATTTGTGATTATGGAAACCAAACCTAACAGTAGAATGGACACTGAGAACACTTCTCTCGTTGATTCTACAGATATGATGACGGAAGTTAGTAATTTAATAGAGAAATATACGGACGGGAGTTTTGGGCAGGGCAGGGTCTCCGTGCGTAATTTAGGACACGCGGGTTCTTTACGCAGCAGCGCGGCTGGATCAAGCAGTGAGGCTCTGGATCAACTATCTCTGCTTGACTTGCCTCTCGGTACCAAAACGTACACTGACCACATGGATGAATTTCTGAAAGTTGAAACCGGACAGTGGAGCGCAAAAGCGCTTCTGCCCAAGGAGACAGATGTTCTGGGTAGTGCGTTTATCAAAGATGAGAAAGAACAGTCTCTCATTATGGAGCCACCCAACACTGATTTCGACGTCGGCTTAAACATCAGCGCCTTGGAAAGCTGCTACGACTCTACCCTAAGGAAACAGCAGTGTGGGTTTATTGAGGAGTCTTCAGCTTTGAGGCTCTCATCTCAAGCTGCCCAACAGGTAGTTGTGGAGAGTTCCTCTAACTTTCAGTTGAACATGAATCAACCTACATTGGTTTTGCCACCTCAGAGAAGAGTATCGCCTTCTCTAGGCAGGGGTGTGTTGAATTTCGATGGAACGAGCGCAGCTCCCATGATGTCCAAAACGGACTTTTCTAAATGGGTGTCCGCCACGGACTCTCCGTTCTGGTATCAGTCCACTAGTGTGAATGAAGAGCACGCTGGATATTCTTCACCAGATGCCTTCATCCCGCGCTCACGTACTGTCTACTCTGCTTTCCCAGGGTAAGAACGACGCCATGTACGCTGTGCGCTATTCTGAATTGAGTTTAAGCAACATGACGCATAACTGCATGAATTAAAAGAAGCAGAATTGAAATGGTGCGTGTAGTTTTAAGTTTATAATTAAAAAACAATAAGTGATAAGAAAAAATTACACACAAAAATTGGGGTAATAATAATAATTTTTTTTCTGCAATGTCACCTATAGAAATTTCCATTTATTTATATTTCGTTATATTTAATAAATTCACTTTATTAATTTTATGGCACATGATGGAACAACATGTCCCAGAGTGCTCTACTTTACCCCAAAGTCTTTCAAATGGAGTCGACTATGAAGAAGGTTTACAAGATGGAGACAGAAGATTTAAAAAGTCATCTGTTTTTGTAAAAAAAATAAAAAATAATAATAATAATAAAAAAGTTTACTTTGAATTCCTCTTATGAATTGAACGGGGATCACTAAAAAATATCAACACAGGCTCATTGGAGAAACGTAGCTATACCTGTACTGTACGTGCCAACATTTTTGCAAAACGCAAAATACATACTACCAATATATGAATATCTGCCGTTTCCAACAGAAATTAACACTATAGAGTCAGTAAAACAAGCCCTTTTAATCGTTTTCACACACAATTATGATTACAGGGGCAGTTTATGGATTAATAACTTGCGGCACCCTTGCACAATTATGTTATGACCTCAAAACACCTTTTATAGTGTATGATTTGAAAAGGAACATATTTTGGAGTTTGCATAATTAGCTCCATATGTTCGGTTTTATTGACACACCAAGCTTGCTCGGTACTAGTTCAGCTGGTACAGAATTGTATAGGCCTACTTGTGATGCGGTGAGCTCGGGTACGAATCCCGTGAAAGACGAGTCACATAAAAGAGCTCAAAGTCAAGAGTTCAAAAACAAACTATAATGCCATTGTTACGATTGTGTTTTATGTCACATTTGTGCTTTTGTTAACACTGTCTGGTAAGTTTAGAGTTTAGTGTAGGTGTACGTTATTTTAAAATGGAGCACTAAGGTTTTTATAGCGGCACTCACCGGACATTTCAATCCAGAACTGCCAAGATCGGGTTGGAACTGCGGTGAAAAGTAGGCTACAAACTTCAAGGTAAAAAAAAAACCCCCAAAAAAACCTTGCTATATTCACGTTCATCTTTTCACGAAAAAACTAAACACGCTTTTAGCTCACTGGACATTTCTATTTGAAACTGTCGCTAAACGTGCAGGAAGCAACGTATTTTGCGTTTTGCTAAAATGTTGCGACAGGTACGTTTTTCTAATGAGCCTGGGCTAAAAAATATAGAATCATATTTTAGTTATCCTCAAATCAGGCATCTAAATCAAGGGAGCTTAATTCTGCTTCTAAAAACTACATTCCTCTTGCACATTTTACATCATATCAGAACCAGCACATTAAGGTTTTGGGATCCACTTTGTGTGTGACCCCGAACCAAATTGGTTTTTGTTTTCAGAAGCAATACTGAGCACATCTAGTTTAGCACTGAATGAGCGAACCATTATCATTAATCAGATGGTCAAAGGTTAGAACATACTGAACTTGCCCTTCTTAGTATATATGGACCACTTGTGGAAATGTGGTTATTATTTTATACTATTTGGTCCAAATACATTTTTAATCCACTGTCATTTAGGATTTGTTTGGGTTATATCATCAAGATAACATTGTGTCTTGCTTCTATTTAGGGTTCCATCTCAAAGAGTGTGTGTTATATGTGGAGACGAGGCTTCGGGTTGTCACTATGGAGTTCTTACCTGTGGAAGCTGCAAGGTGTTTTTCAAGAGAGCTGTTGAGGGTGAGCAACATTGTAATCATTTAGTCAAAATAGTATTATCTAGAGTATATTGAAGACCCAATGAAGTCTGCAGACTGCAGTTTCTCTCCTGTGGTGATGTATCTCGTGAACAGGAAACTTTCTAAACAGGAAGTTTGGGCGGGACATACAGTATCTAGGACCAGCCAATAGGCTTTAGTTATGTCACAGCCATGAGCACAATTTGCTACTTGCCAATTGAAAGCAGATCGTATCGGGACCAGGACAATCTCAGTCTTGAATTGCAAGACTGAACATTTTACATGTGCACATGTTCTAAATGTCAGTTTTGGCAACTTTAAGGCACGATCACCGTGATTTTGCCAAGTAAAACATATTTTGTTGATCCTGGAGCAACATTCCTGTCTGCAAATCCCTGACCCTAGCCATAACCTATCCCTAAAATTTGAGGGAAACTATCGGTGAGTAACACTGACGTAGAAGCACCTAACCCTGGCTGTAAGGCTGAACTTGACATAAACGGTAAACATGGGGGTTTTAATATTTTCAGTGCTTTGTAAAGTGTTGTTGCAAACAGGAGTTTTATTTCCTGTTTCAAAGAGCGTCAGCCATGGCAGTGTCCCAGAAGATGGTAATTATCATTTGGACCAATGTTCACAGTGTTCTTTCTTTTTATTCTTATCACTGAGGACAGATATGTAAGAGCCACTATGTCTGACCATGGCCATGTCACTATGCCCTGTCAGCCTTGCTTCAAACCAATTCGCTCTGTGCCTTTTCCGCTGTACTCTCCAAATCGCCTTCCTTTAAAAAAAAAAAAAAACCTGACAGTCATTCATAAGTTTAATTATGTTTTCCCTCTTGTCTAGGTCACCATAACTACCTGTGTGCGGGACGAAATGACTGCATTGTTGATAAAATCAGGAGAAAGAATTGTCCCGCATGTCGTCTTAGAAAGTGCTATCAGGCAGGGATGATGCTTGGAGGTATCACTGTTTCTTTATATTATGCTTTGTATTTATACATTAACTATATATAATTTGTCAAGCTTCTTAGACTTAATAGACATTAATGGGCAGTTCAAATGTTATATGTTTTATATATATGTTGAAATGTTGAATATTTTCCAAAGTCCAATCTTAAGTATAGTTGTTAACTCTTTTTAATTCTTCATTTATTAACCCTCATGTTGTTCTAAACCCTAAATGACTTTCTTTCTTCAGTGAAACATAAACAGAGATGTTTAGCAAGCTGCTTATTTATGTACAGTGAAAGTCAATAAGGACTAGGGCTAAAGTTTCTTGGGGGAACAGAACATTTGCGAGAGGACGCAAAAGCATTGACAAATATTTTTTCCCCCATCTTATATATTTTTTCCCTTCACCATGTCCCTTTAGGGGCTCCGTATAAAACTTCTGAAGTCATATAATTTTTTTGGCAGTGCAAAATAGCAAATAGATAGCGATATATGCTAAATACACTGTAAAAAGCAACAAAAAGTATTTTAAGTGTAAATTGTTGTTACATGCTATCCTTAATCTTACCCACTAAACACTTTCCCCCCACTATTAAACACCCATTAGGCGATTTATTTCCACTTTTCGTATGTTTTCTTAATTTCTTTTAACATAAATGGTATTAGAAAAAGAGAGAGGAATGAGTTTGGAAAAAGCGGATTCGAACTCGGGTCGGTTGTGTCAAAATCTAACACTACCGACCTTACTCTCCACGCCACAAATCCTGTTATCACATCGATTTCTTTAGTAATTTTGTCTGCTTAGTCAGAAAACGGTAGACGGAGTTAGTGTAAATAGCCTCTGCAAACAAGGCGGGATATTTGCACTACGTGTCATTTTTCTGTGAGGAACAGACTGAAATCTCAAATTTCGTTGATGCTTGTTGAGCCCCAGTCCTCATTCACTTTAATTGTTCGTAAACAGCAGCCTGGACATTGTGCTAAATTGAACTAAAACATAAAACAATAATGACAACAACATAAACATAAAGTTTTAACCAACATGAGGAAGAGTAAGGATACGTTTGGGTATACTTTTCCTTAATTTGAAGAGAACTAAATTGAAATTATGAGCATCATAAAGATCCTTAAGCTTCCACCCTAAAGTAATTAATATTATAATGTTCAGTAGCATATGGAAGTTCAATAAGATGGACGAGATGATCAAGATAAGCCTGCATTTGCGTGTTTCAGGCCGTAAGATGAAGCGGTTTGCGAATCTGAAGCTCATGGGGATGAGTCCATTGTTGAGGTTCCAGGGTCCGTTCTCCCTGATGGCTGACGGTCAAACGGTGTCCTCCCTGCCCTGTATGCCAGCCATGCGTGAGCTGCAGCTGACCCCGCAGATAATCAGCATCCTGGAGAGCATTGAGCCACAGGTGGTCTACTCTGGCTACGACAGCTCGCAACCAGAGCTTCCCCACCTTCTCCTCAACAGTCTCAACAGGCTCTGTGAGAGGCAGCTGCTCTGGATCGTCAGATGGTCCAAGTCTCTTCCGGGTAACACCTTTACAATCAGCCTAACAAGCATTTTAGAGACTAGCGTTCATGGTTCATCACCATCTGAATGACTTTGAGATCAAACCAAAGCACAGACAATGGAGCTCTTCATAATCGTACCATGCTGTGAGTTCTAAGGCTTTACTAAAGATTTTTCTTGGTCATCTGTGTTTTCAACAGGTTTTCGCAATTTGCACATCAACGACCAGATGACGCTAATCCAGTATTCCTGGATGGGTTTAATGTTGTTCTCCCTGGGTTGGAGAAGTTTCCAGAATGTCACAACTGATTACCTGTACTTTGCACCCGATCTGGTCTTGAGCCAGTAAGTAACAGTAAAATCAATTAATTCAAAAGGCCCTGATACACTTTAAGCAAAATTGAAGAATGAACTGGAGTGACGTCATTTCGAACAAAATCAGGCCAAAACAATGTTCATTCAAGAGTTCAAAACAGGTTGAGCATTGGTCCTTAGCGATTACGTAATAGGTAGGTGTGTCTCTATAAGGCTCCGCCTTCTTAGATGTAGAAATATTCTCCGGTTCATTTCTTCTGTTCAGTCCGTCAAGGTCAGATGACAAAACATGAATACACTGAAGAGCTGCTTTATAGTTTAAGCTGAAGTCGTAATTGTAATTGAAAGTGACAGCGTGACTGTTTTTTCATGTTTAATACTGTAAATCTATATAAATAAACGTGACGTGACTGGAGTGCCGAACCACTGAGCTCCACATCGCTAAAATGCTTCCTTAACTGTTTTTTTCACCGCTGCCATTTTGTTGTTTAATTAAGAGGATAGCGGACAGTGTATGTATACATTTCTATATATATATATATATATATATATATATATATGATGTTTGCTAAAATTATACCACTGCTCAGGTATTTCAAACTTGAAGCCTTGAAGCAAGAACAATAAAGAACTTCATTTCTAGTATATCAGGGGCTTTATTACCTAACTTTACATATAACAACACACACCATTTTCTGATGGTATTGTACCTTTTTTCACTGATAAAAAAGAGAGAGAACTATTTCATACACTAATTGTGGCCTGCCATGTACACTCACCTAAAGGATTATTAGGAACACCATACTAATACTGTTTGACCCCCTTTCGCCTTCAGAACTGCCTTAATTCTACGTGGCATTGATTCAACAAGGTGCTGAAAGCATTCTTTAGAAATGTTGACCCATATTAATAGGATAGCATCTTCTTTCCCATTCTGACATTCAGTTTGGAGATCAGGGGATTGTCTTGACCAGGACCACAACCCTAAATGCATTGAAGCAACTGCCATGTGATTGGTTGATTAGATAATTGCATTAATGAGAAATTGAACAGGTGTTCCTAATAATCCTTTAGGTGAGCGTAGATCTTAATAGCTACATTCAATAAACAGGTACTGACAGACATTGATATATGCATATATACTCAGTCAAGCTCTTTATATTTTAGTGATCAACTGAGGAGGTCTCCGATCTACGACTTGTGCTTGGGGATGCAGTTTGTTCCACAGGAATTCGCCAACTTGCAAGTGTCCAGGGAAGAGTTTCTGTGCATGAAGGCTTTGATACTCCTCAACACTGGTGATAAATCCTCTGGGTTTTCTCTATGACACATAAAACTCTCACTGTCTGACCCTGTACAGGTCAGATCGGTCTTCCAGAATGGAATATTAACAATCTGGACCATTTTAAACCAATGGCTTCATGCCAGTACGCAGGGATAGACAAGAGATACGTGTTTGGCAGACTGCGAGACCTTGAAAATCCAAACTAAGTTCCAATTCCAAGCTAACATTTTTCAAATTAGATCAACATTAATGCCAAAGAAGCCTTACAATTGTGCTGACTACAACATGACTATATTGATAGAACACTGTGAAACTAGTCAATTATAACATGACCCTTGGCAGATTGTGTGTATATGCTACTGGTGATGTTTCAACATTGATGTGTTTGTGGCAGTTCCTCTGGAGGGCCTGAAGAGTCAGACGCAGTTTGATGAAATGAGACAGAACTACATCTGTGAGTTGACGAAAGCCATCCAGCTGAAGGAGAAAGGAGTGGTGGCCAGCTCACAGAGATTCTACCACCTGACCAAACTCATGGACGGCATGCACGAGGTACACAGCAGGAGCTATAGGCTAAATATACATGGGTCATTCTCAGAAATGCTTGACAGTTTCAGGATTTAAAAATGAATAAATACATAAATAATCATTTGAAAAGGTAGACATGGAAGCTTGTTTCTGCCACTGACTTTATAACTCGCAATTCTGAGAAAAAAAAGTCAGAATTGCCAACCCGATCATTTCTTACGTATTTTATGATGGCGGATAATTCGTACGAATTCATACGACCTCACTTGAATTTTTGCTAAATCGTACATATTTTACGAGTTGCCCAATACGAATGACCTACCCCTGACCCCGCCCCTTACCCTACCCATCACTGGGGTTTGGACAAATTGTACAAATTGGTTGTGAGATAGCGTTGGAATTGCGAGTTATCACGCAATTCTGAGAGAAAAATAAAGTCAAAATTGCAAGATAAAAAGTCTTTAATAACCTTTATATATTTTTTATTCAGTGGTGGAAACAAGCTTCCATAGGTAGCTGCTGAGTCATCTCACAAAATCCTATTTTCCTGTTCTCAGAAACATATCCCTTTAAAGCCTGACATGAAAAAATAGTCTACAAAATCTTTTTTCTATGCTACCGTTTATTGAACCTTTAGACAAAAACATGTTTTTTTTTGTTGCACATATTTTATACATCAGGCTTTTATGGCTCACATAGTGTATTAGGAGAATATAAAAACAAAACAAAATCATTTTTGAAGTTTTATTCAGAGGCACAAATGCAATTTGGTGGAGTTGCTGAAATTTACATGGCCAAAAAGTAAGATCTGATACCTTGTACTGATGTAAATTGCACATAAATAAATTTTTCCCCTCTTTATCTCAGAATAATAGACAGTAATAATAATAGTAAGTTGATATTTAAATGCTTAATTTATGATCAAAGATTTGTACAATGACGATTGAGAGATGCCTGATTTTAACATTTTTTTAAGAAATTATGTATGGATAATCAAGTAAAACCAAGTTTCTTCAGTCTAGTAAGTGTTCATCATGAAATTTTACCAACATTTTACCAGCAATTCTTATGTTTACTTTTTAAAAACCACAGCAAAAAGGCAGATGTACCAAGATCTGAAGGGGGACATTTTTAGAATGATATTAAAAGGCTTTTTACTTGCTAAAAAATGATAATCTATCAATCAGACGACAGAAGGAATGTAATAGATTGTGTACAACAGATTTTTCAGAGCAGTTTCAATCATGTTTTCATAATTTAAAGGCCATGTTTTTTCAGAACACACAGTGATAAGCTGTGTGAAGTCAGTGTAAAATACATCAAATGAATATTTCATCGCACAAATGTGTAAAACACGATATGAAATAGGTCGCATAACAGCTTTATTCACGCCATCACTTGTTATACGTATATCAGAATGTGTAAAACACGATAGGAGAGCTTGAAGAGTGACGTTGACTTTATCTTTGTGTAGATTGTAAAGAAGGTCAATCTCTACTGTCTGAGCACATACATCCAGGCGGACGCCATGAAGGTGGAGTTTCCGGAGATGATGTCAGAGGTCATTGCGTCACAGCTGCCGAAAGTGCTTGCGGGGATGGTCAGACCCCTCCTGTTTCACAACAAGTGAAGCCATGTGATCCAGACAGTATGCTTGGGTCTGGGACTCATCGTGTCTCTGGTGTACGTGCGCCACATCTAGTTAATGTAGACACGCATCTTTCCATACACAATTCCTCCCCTTTTAATAGTCACAAGTTCTGACCTGATGTGTTAGTTGAAAATACACAATTTTTCAATAGGAGTAAAACTAATAATAATAATTCACAGTCCAATCATAAAGAGAGAATATAATCTGCTATTTCATTAAACCCTGCTATCGAATTCTACAAAACATGGCAATCTTTGAGCATTTTTGTGATAACTTAAGACAGACTGTGTTTGCATTTGGCAGGTTTGGTTTGATTAAAATTAACTCTGGTGTGATTGCTCTGTTAGTGCAGTTCAGTGTGAACGCTGCCATCCCAACCCTGGTGCGCAACAAACAAGCGGGCCGTCTTTTCAGAGCCACTTCCAAATAAACTCTGGTCCAGTTCAACTGAAATATGAACGCAACACGGACCAAAGACACCTAAACGAAGCAAAAACAGGTCGTGACGTCACAAGACATGACCCTAAAAAGGACAGAATGCTCAGATGTTGCCCATTACAGTCCAGTCTTCTTGCAGCAGATCTTCGTTTGTGTGCAAACAGAGGAATTCCCTGTGCTGTTTTGACTCCTTTACACATTTTTTAAACTCTTCCTGAGTTCTCAGCTGGTGCCATCCTATAGCACATTTAGCCCAGCACACAGCATTGTTTTCATTGTTCAGTAAGTTTCATCGCAAAATATACGTCATAAAAGCTGTGTTTTTTTGTATCTTTAGGTTCTGTGTTAAAAATGACAGAGTGAACGCTAAGTGAAACAAGACTAAATGTATAATTTTCTGTTTTGGTCTGGACCAAAAGAACCAAGAGAAGTAAACTACAAGTGTGAGCACATAACTGTGCAAAAATGTTATGTGAAGTCATTTCTTTTTCCATGTAATTCTTGACTGTTACTAAAATTTCCAGATATTTTTTTAAGCCAATTCGACTGTAATTTATGGTAAAATTATACTTTTCCTCCCAGTTTTATTTTCATTTCAAATCCTAAACATGTGATGAAAAGGAAACACTTGATAAGCTGAAAGCGTCAAAAGGACATTTTTCATGGTCAGATCTTACAAACTCCCAATGCCAGCCACCATGGATTGTACTTGCATTTACGCAGTAACCGCTCACTTCACGTCAAATGAAAAGTACATGTGAAGTAGCCTATCTAATAAAAAAACATTGATTGCACATAACAACAATGCTTGAAAGACAAAGAGCTAAATTGTACATTGGCTGAGAGATCACAGTGTATATTTAAAGGAACACTCAACAATTTGATCCAGCCTGTTTAAAAATAAATATTTTTTTTAAGCAGAATATTAAAGGTGCAAAACGCAAGTCTCTGAGTTTTTGCAGAACTACGCCCCCTCTGGCGACAAGCGAAACTGCAACCAGAGTTGTGCACGCTCATGGGCCACACGCATCTTTTATTGGATATGTTTTATGTTTCATGTTGTACTATTCTTCCGAACACAATTCCTAGTTTATGAAACTGTTCACTAACAATGGTAGTAAAACCAATTCTGATTGTACATGTATCTAGCTTACGCTAAAGCATTACACATTTTACGTATCGTCATTTGTTGTCATACATAGATTGGCCGTATCAAACATTAGAGACTGGGCTATATCTTACCGTTTTATCAAGAAAAAAGCCAACTGAGGATACCGTTTGAGACCAAGAGCAGACCGGAGATCTCTCCATTTCCCGAGGTTGACTCTCGTCTTATTCTGACGCCTGTCTGACTCCAATTTGGACCTTTTGGTGGCACTAGACAAAATTTTTCTTTTCTTTACTTTACGTGGAGTTTGCGTTGGGGTTTGGAATGGACTACAAGCCGGTCTCTTTGAATCCATCTTCTGCCTTTGACGCACGAGTTGTCTTCGCTGATGCTAAGAATGGCGGCGCCGGCGAATACACAAACCTGCGAGACATAGCCTGGTGAGCGTGAACGCGCATGACGTCACTCCCAGTCTCAAATTCGTGCCCGAATCCCTCTTATATATTTTACTGTACAGGATTACAGAGGCAATCTCAGTGCGCAGAGAAGGGCTCATTCAGCCCATCAGGCAGTTCTTTAAGCATGTATAGGATAGAAAAACAGGTATTTTTAACATGAAAAGTTGCGCAATGCACCTTTAAGGGCCAGATTTACAAACAGCTTACTCCAGCGCAAACCCTCTTTCGGCGTTAAACTACTGTCAGGATTTACAATTAGTGGTGAAAAGGCGTAGACGGTTATTTTTGCGGCTGACCTTATTGCATATGCATTTGTAGGAGTTTCCCTTTCAGAAGCAAAAATTATGGGAGGAGAGTATTTAAATGAATCACGCAACGTGATTTACTAAGGTTTGCAATAGTCAATTTACTGGTGTTTGTGCCATTATTTACCACCCCTAAAAAAAATCATGTCTTAAACCAGAAGCTAATCTGTCATTATGGAAATGATCTGGCTGCGTCTGTGTTCTCGTCAGTAGCGTTTTACTGGAAGGCAAGAGCATAAATTTGAAAAACATTTCTTGGTGCTCCTATAATTTCCTCCCTCTGACCTTGATGGCCTATCTGAAGGGAGTATCAGTCCAGCATCAGCAGTCAAGGCCACAGAGCATTCTCATGTATTTAATTGGGAAAGAACACTGAGATCTTGGCAATCGGCCGCTTTCCAAAGACTTCTGACGCCGTTTCTCTTCGTCTGGGACTTACTTCTGATGATTTAGCTTGTGCTACAAATCTTTAGACAAGAAGTGGGTCTCATTTTGTAAACAAATTTATTGACGGAACCAAAATGAATTAAGACGACAAATATATGATTTGCAAAAGAATCATCCATATATACATATCTATCATTTAGTTTTTTAGTTTTTAATCAGTTATCATCATAATACAAGTTTCAATAAGATGGCTGGAATGTATCATGTTGGTGTTGTTGACACTGACAGTGGGTGTCATTTTAAACTTCAGAAGGAATTATGCGTCCAGAACATCTGGTACAATGAAGTTATTACAGTTGGACTTGTTTCATTAGTATTTGTAAAGACCTGGATGCCAAAATTAGACATCATCCACTACTATCCCAAGCCAGTGGTTTCCAAACGTTTCAGGAATAGGAATAATTTTGTGTGTATCAGAAAATATGATACATTTCAATTATAAATAACTAGAACACTTAGTTCCATTGCTCTAATGTGATAAAATAAGCAGTGATCCAAGGATGCTGATAATTCAGCACAGAATTGGAACATTTTACTTTTCTGAGAATTTGTGCTAGAATGGCTGATTTCAGTACTGCATGTAGAATTCTATTAGTCAATAACACAATGGGGTCCAAAAGTCTGAGACCACTAGTAAAAATGTTTAGCTTTTTTTGTTATTATTCCTTTTTATTTGCAAAAATTATATGAACAGCATAATGTGATAAATGAATATGAATAAACTACATAAAACCTGATCACATTATCGGGCATGATTTGAAAATGTTCAAAATAAAATCTTGAGCCTCATTGTTAAGCTGAAAATTTGACCACATTTACTTAATTGATTTGTCAGCTAGAAATAATGCAGAATCTGAGATATTTTGTGGTCATTTTGTTCTAGTTTCTCTGTTAAAAATGTTCAAAATCCTAAAAGTGTGGTCTCAGACTTTTGAACATTTATGACAGTAACAGTAAGTCATTTTATAATGAGAAACCACACACACACACACACACACACACACACACACACACACACACACACACACACACACACACACACACACACACACACACACACACACACACACACACACACACACACACACACACACACACACACACACACAGGTTTAACCTTCTTTCCCTTCATTTCAAAATAATAAGAATTGAGCTAAAATAAAAGAAAGCCTGTCTCTTAGACCTATAAGCTGGTCTTTCATGACAGAATTGCAGTATTCCACCGCACAGTAGGCCTGAAAGGATCATTTAGTGCGGTACATTGCACCTCCTGACCTCAGTGTATCTAAATTTGTGCATCTAAACTCAATGTTTTCAGTTCGGCTTCCAGCAGAAGCACATCATGTCAGCAAAAGCTTTATCTAGAATTACAGCTGCGATTCAGGCCTTGTGCTGTATCATTGAGGTTTGTGTACCATACATTATCTCTTACTATTCAGTGTCATATAATGTCATATCCATACAGTTCACTTACAAATCATTTAATGCTTGATATATACTTTAAGCTCTTGCACTAAAATTCATGTTACCATGGATACCATGAAATGCTTGGCCTCTCTCTCCTGGTTGGATGCTGTCAGAGGAACACCACATAGTTTTCAGGAATGAGTCCTGTTTTGCCCTCAAACGTTGCCTGGAGCCAGCCTGGTTCCACTGAAGAATACACTGCAAAGAAGAAACGGAGAAGGGTTAAGCTGTGGAGAAGTCTTTTATAATATGAAAAAAGGTCTATAGTATTATTGCTCATACTTAGGGGGTTGAATAAACTGGGGCACAACAATAGATACGAGACCCGAAACCAGCGAGAGTTTTGGGACAAATGACAAAACCATCATTGGGTCAATGCAGCTTCTTGTATTATGCCTTGTTTTGCAAATTTAAATTAATTATTCAACATTACATTGTATGTTCTTTGCAGATTTTTTTATGTTACCAATCTAACATCATCAAAAATAATGACTTCAGCGGGGTTCTTGACTCAGTTTTAAAGAACGCTTGACGCCCAAAAGGCTCTATATAAAGATAAATGTCTTAAATGATTGCATAATACTTTCATGCTTAAGAGGTTATTTCATTTTTTTCTAGTGATAAAGAATGTGTATTAACTGTTTAATTCATAAAACCGAACAATACAAAATGAATTCAAATAAATGACCTGACAGAAACTTTTCTTCTAATAGTGTGGGTTAAAAATGATAAATCAATCAGTAATATAGTCGCAAATTCCAGTAAAATATTGTCTGTAAAAAATGTACAGCTATTACTAAAAAGTTTTCTTTGTATGACAGGCCAAAAAAGTATGTCCGCTCAATTTGGCATGTTTCATTGTGTTATCACAAATAAAACAACTTTTCACTTAGTTTTGACCACTACTGTGTGTGTATATATATTTGGTCAAGGCAAGCCAAAGTCTGAACTATCCTTATTGTTGAGCCCTGCAAACCCTCCAACCCTAAGCATCAAATTTGGCATGAAAGTCATCCTGCATTTTTGAAACGTGTTACCTCAAATCATGTGATTTACTGAGGTGTGCTATTATTTATATATTTTTAAGTTATCAGATGTACAATTTTTTACTTGGTGGGTAAAATGACTAAAGACCAAAAATAAGCAAATACTTCTAAAGTCTCACTTTTATCTAGTTTCGTTTCTTCAGCATTAAGTTAAGTTGACCGTTCATAAAGTGATTTGTTTGACCATTATGTTCACAAAGCAATAGTATCCTCATAAAATGGCGGCACAAGTGAACCACATCTGCAGGTAGTAAATCACAAAGTTGGGTCACTTTGCATCGTGAAATGATCCTCATAAAGCTTTCAAAAGGACCTCACAAATGAATTGCCCAGTAATGACTCATATCAACATTCTCTGAACTATCAAAGCATCTGTTTACACTAAAGCATAAGGCAGATGGGATTGCAAAATAAAGAGTGAATTATATAAGCAGAACTCTCAAATGTCAACAGTGAGAACTCGGGTTGATGGGTAAGAGGAGGTTTATGTTGTGCTAAGTGTTTGCTGAGCTTTAGAGAGAGGAAGACTTGCCTTCACCAGGTTACTGTGACCGGTTTCAAAGCCCTGGTGCCCGGCCAAGTGCGGAAAATACATCCAGCAATAAAATTCTATTCCTGACGTGTATGAGGAACAACAACCGATGGTTGTTCCACAGAACAGACACAGGAACACATTCTTTTCTATCAATATTAATGCCCTGGTGTGTATGCAGCAAAAGTGCATCAGTACTTCAATCATAGTTCATTTTCTTGGATTTTTGTAACCGTCACTGCACGTCACAAAAGACGTACATATTTTAACATCCACCAAACCACATTCCCAATACACTAGTTGATATATGATTCATGGCCAGCATTGCTGCATGTTTCTTGGTGGATATTTCAGTCGCAGTTCATAAAAAGTCACTTAAGAACTGAAGTTGATGTTGAAGTTGAACTGATCACTTGATGAATTGTGTGAGCCTGAGACAACCTGACCACTGACCACCAATACCATTTACTAACCATTTGTTACACATAGAAATGACAAGCGCTGGCTGAAATCAACAGATAAAACAATGGAATGAGAGAACAATAAAATGATGGAATGAGAGAACAATAGAATGAGAACAATAGAATGGTGGAATGATAGAACGATGGATTGAGAGAACGAAAGGACGATGGAATGAGAGAACGATAGATTGATGGGATGAGATAAAGATAGAACGATGGAATGAGAGAACGAAAGGATGATATAACCTTGCTATAATATATATATATAACCTGATAACTCATAACTGATAACTAATGTGTATTGTTCTAGACTAACTGGGACTAGTCACAGCACTAGCATATTGTTGCCCGATTGTTGGCTTGACTGCTTCTCCTCATTTGTAAGTCGCTTTGGATAAAAGCATCTGCTAAATCAGTGGTTCTCGACCTTTTTTGGGCCTATCCATTATCCAGGTCCCCTGGCTGAATCCCTGCTCAACGAGATACAGTATGTTGTTGGAAAAGCAAGAATCAGCAGCTTGATCTTTTGGCAGAGAGCCGGATAACGCTGGGCATATTTGACCCACATGCTGCACCAGCCAGAGGGACGGAAAATAGCTTGGGCTTCGTCTTCGCACTGGATGTCGACAAGATGCTCCTGAATAGCGGGTTCGCATTCGATCACATCCGTTTGAAAGGGCTGCACAAACCAAATGGGAACATCAAGGTTAAGGAGGTCCCTGAAGCGGATCTCCATGTCGGCCTTAAACATCCTCAGGTGGTCAGTGTAAACTAGGAGGAGGTCATCGGTAAGAGCCTCAGACACCTGTAATGAGTATTATTTTAGTTCAATTGTTCTCTTATCTCCATGAATATTTTTAGACTATCTGAATTTGAATTAGTTGTTTTATTGCTTATTATTCTACTAAAATGTTTATTTATATTTATAAGGTCATGTGTGTTATAGGTCTGTATTTTCAGACTCAGTATAATCACTCAAAAAAATAAACATTACAATGGTATTCATGAAAATAAAATATATTAGGCTAATTATACTAATAGTGGGCCTGTTGTATCTATTTAGTGTTGTTTCTGAAAAAAAGATCACCTTGGCCAGCGGTGGGAAATGAGCAAACTGCCTGCCTCCTGCCTATACTCTGCCTGTAGTATGGAAGCTTGTTTCCGCCACTGAATAAAAAAAATAATAAATAACAAGACTTTTTATCTCACAATTACGATATGAAGTAAGAATTGTGAGAAATAAAGTCGCAATTGCGAGATATAAAGTCGCAATTCTGAGAAATAAAGTCGCAATTGCGAGATATAAAGTCGCAATTCTGAGAAATAGTCGCAATTGCGAGATATAAAGTCGCAATTCTGAGAAATAAAGTCGCAATTGCGAGCTATAAAGTCGCAATTCTGAGAAATAAAGTCGCAATTGTGAGAAAAAAAGACAAAATTTTGACTTTTTATCTCACAATTCTGACTTTATAACACATAATTGCGAGTTTATGTCTCTAAATTCTGACATCTTTTCTCAGAATTGTGAGATATAAACTCGCAATTGCGAGTTATCAGGCCAATTCTAAGGAAAAATAAAAGACTTTACTTTTTTCCTCTCAGAATAGTTTATATCTCACAATTCTGACTTTACAACACACAATTCTGACTTTATTATACGTAATTGCGACTTTATTTCACGCAATTCTGACTTTATAACACGCAATTGCGACTTATATCACGCAATTCTGACTTTATATCTCGCAATTGTGAGAAAAAAAGTCAGAATTGTGAGATAAAAAGTCGCAATTAACTTTTTTATTTTTCATTCTGTGGCGGAAACAAGCTTCCATACTGTAGAGATCTAGCCTGGAGGTGAGACTTTGGATAACCGCCTTGGATTTGACCAGAGTGATGTCATTTCCTTGGAGCTTTAACATGACTTCATTCATTTTCTCCAAAAAGTCTCCACGAGGTACATGATGTTGCACCTTTTCCCTGAGAGCTCCATCAACCTCCTCCAGGAACTCAACGATGCTGTTCAACAGCTCACAAAAAACGAGCAAGGCAGTTTCCCTTTGAGAGCCAGCGGACATCAGTATGGCGAAGAAGCCACTCAAAAGTCTCATCGTTTTCCTGACACAGCTGTCGGAACAGTCTGTCATTCAGTGCATGGGCTTTTATTTTGTTTATTGCTTTGACTGCAACATGGAGAGACTCATGGATAACTGGATTGTTGCATTTGGCCACAAGGTTGTGGCGGTGCAAAACAGTGGACTGTGAGGATATGCGGCACCTGCTCCTTCAGCAGAGCAGTGAACCCACGGTACCTGCCAACCATAGCGGGGGCACCATCAGTGGATGGATGCTAGAGATGGGAATTGACTTCTCCTGTAGATAAGCAGAAAGCGTGTTTAAAATGGTCTGGCCCTTGGTGTCGGTTTCCAGATATTAAGCAAACAAAAATTCATCTGCCATCTTGTGACTGTTTGAGGCCCTATAACGGACATAGGCCATCAGCAGAGCGTTGTTGTCAGCGGTGGTTGTCTCGTCCAGCTGAAGTCTGAACAGAGGCTGTATCCTCTGTATCTGCACCCATTTTATTTATCCTGCGTGCCACGGTGTCATTGCTGAGAGGGATGGATTTCAGCCCCTGTGTGGGATCGCGCTCCATCACGGTAGAGATTACCTCTTTGATGGCAGGAAGAGCCAACTTTTCTCCAATTGTGAACGGCTGTCCACATTTGGCGATCAGCAGGGAGATTTTATATGACGCTATTAGCCCACTATCATTTTGGCTGGTATTCTTAGTGAAGAGACTGCTGATGGTTCTCCTAACGTGTTGCTCTTTTAAGGCCTGGAAGAACGGACGGTCCTTATCTGCCTTGTCTGGGTGGATCTTCATAAGGTGCTCCTTCAGACGTGAAGGTTTCATGGCTTCATTTGAAAAAACTTGTTCACATAGTAAACACATTGGAAACTGTGCATTGGTGGGAGAAGGTATGAAACCATAATTAAGGTATTCAATGGAATACTGTCTACAGTTTTTCTTGTTTGCTGGCGCCATTTTGCTCAATTGTTTTTATGATAGTGTATCTACCCACGCAAAAGTGGACAAATCTTTTTTTTTACATGCACTGTGATTTTGAACTGATAAGTGACTAAATGTCACAGAGGCTATTATGTATGGAAGACTAGGAATGCACTTGCTCCTGAGCGTTGATCATTGTAGCCAATCACAGACATATCCAATAAGTGCGTGAACACAATGGCCAATCAGAGGTGTTTACGATTCTGCTCAACAGCGCTCAAAGCATCACAATTTTTCAATTTCAGTACCGACTTGGTACCGAAGTCGGTACTTTTTGACAACTCTAAAACGATCTATAGATAGAACGAATGAATGATAGAACGGTCGATAGATAGACAGACAGACAGATGAATAAACAGACAAATTGATATATAAACAGACAGATAGATAGATAGACAGGCAGATAGATAAATAGATAGACTCACCGTTGGAAAAGTGAGCCCCCTGTGGGAAACTCAGCTCATTGCTGTGTTCGGCTTCACAGGAATATATGGCTTTGGCATCTCTATGGATTCAGATCATGAAATGATACAATTCAAGGATGTTTTAAAAGACCGTTTGTTGGTTTTATAAAGATGTTTGCCATGAAATATATATTAAACAGTTGTTTTTATGTAGTGTGCCTATTTTTACCTTCCCAAGAGGGGAGGTTTTCCGGCTGATGGGTTCTCAAAAAGCAGTGCTCTGGCAGCCACCCTGAAACATACAACCATGCAAAGACGTCAGGATGATAATTGACGCCATTATTTCACCGCACAAGAATTAGGCTGGCTGAACAAACCATTTTAACCAAGCAGGTGGCAGCAGTTTGAAATGCATAAAAAATAAATGTTGGTGAGAGCCAACATTCTACATTCAGTACATAGACATTGCAGCCTTCGGTCTTTATGTGACTGCGGTCGACACTGCTAGATTTGGAGTTCAACTCAAAAGAAGAATAAGAACAACACTTTTTTGTCAACACTTAACCCATTAATACTAACACTAACTATTCTCTCTCTTTCTCTCTCTCTCTCTCTTCTTCTTTCTCTCTCTCTCTCTTCTTCTCTCTCTCTCTCTCTCTCTCTCTCTCTCTCTTCTTCTCTCTCTCTCTCTCTCTCTCTCTCTCTCTCTCTCTCTCTCTCTCTCTCTCTCTCTCTATATATATATATATATATGAAGAGTTCAGATGCAAACGCCTCTAAGTGCCATCTGAAATTTTCTTCTAGAATGATCATTTTTATCAAGCTAGTATATTTAAGTTAAATAATTTCACTTAAATGACAATTAATAGATACTTTTCATTGTCATTTAAGTTATGTCATTGTAATTACTGACCTTAAATATACGAGCTTGATAAAAATTATCATTCTACAAGAAAATTTCAGATGGCACTTAGAGGCTTTTGTTTCTGAACTCTTCATATATATATATAAATGATTTCCATTACACGAGAGTAGATGTTAAAACGTCATGCTGACGTTTTAACATCTACTCTCGTTAAAACTATATATATATATATATATATATATATATATATAGTCCATGAACATACTTTGCTTTTTTTTTATTATACTGTATTCACTTTATAATGTAATTATGTTGAGGGTGAGGTGAGCAATGTATTGTCTGTTTGAGGGTAGGCTCATATTGTTTTAAAATTCCTGCTGTATTTATTACATTTCTACTGTATTTATTAAATTTATAGTGTATTTTTATTGACTTTTGTATTTTAGGGGTGCCTGTTAAGATCTGGCAAGGGACAACAGATGGAAACTAGCACTTGTACCTAACTCTGGCTTGTTTACAGCAAGTAACTTGTTTGTTGATCAATGAGCATTGTCCCTATAAAAAAAATATATATATATATTTGGATTGTACAGAGACATAAACTGCCATCAAGATGACATCTTTACTGGAAAGCAAAACAATGCCAGGCCTCATTCTGCACATGCTAGAACTGAGTGGTTTCTAGACACTCTGTACCATAGAGTGGATGTGCCTGTCTGCAGTCCAGATCTCTCTTATTGAAAATGTATGACCCATCACGAAAAGGAGAATCAGACAACAACGACCTCAGACTGTTGAGCAGCTGTCTTAAATCAGGCGAGATTGAGCAAAAATTCCATTTGCAAAGCTGCAACTAATAATGTCCGCAATTCCCAAATGATTACAAACTGTAATTAAAAGGAAAGGTGATGTGACACAGTCACATGCCTCTGTTCCAACTTTTTTTGGAGTGTGTTGCAGCCATCAAAATCAAAAATTGTTTATATTTACAAAATACAATTAAGTTTGTCAGTGAAAACATTGTAAAATATATTCTTTGTACTTTGTCTGTTAAAGAGAATTAACAAATCACAGATTCTTGATTTTATTGCAGTTTACAAAATGTCCCAACTTTTCTGGAATTGGGGTTGGGAATATTTATATTTGCACATGTGAGAATCACCTCTATAAGCAGTGATTCATGTACAATTTATATAACTGTTAAAGTAACTTACACAATCTCAGGGCAAACATTTTTCAAATCAACATGTTGCTAACACTTAAAGTTGTACAAATGGAGTCCACGTGATGTTAAGTGACGTGATGTTTCTGTTCTTCCTGTGATGATAACTCAAACGAAATTATACATCCTTCCCTCCAGAGAAGATTTAAAAACCAGTGCTGGGTCACACCAACCCTTTCAGCAGTGTAATTTAAACTAGTGCCAACAAAAAACTACTGCAATCAATCTCCATTCAGCAGCTTCCATCGCTGCCAGCAACTACACTATATAATACCTCACAAACTTTCCTCACTACTTTCAATAAATGTTTTTATATTACTCATGACGTAGTGTTTTTCTACAACCTGACAGAAGCATATAAAAGTTGTCAATGAAGTAATGGAAGAGATTTTCACACAAAAATGAAAATTCTGTCATTATTTACTCATCGTCATGTAATTCTTAACCTGTATGACTTTCTTTCATCTGTGAAACATGAATTTTTTTTCTCCATGGTCTTGGTCACCAACATTTCTCAAATATCTACTTCTGCTGTGTTCACAGAAAGTCATTCAGATTTGGAACCATGAGGGTGAGTAAATTATATAATTTTTTCAGGTGAACCATCCCTTTAATGTGATCCGTATATTTTTTTTAATTTAATTTTAAACACATTAAAAATGCAATTCACATACAACAATAAGTTCAATATACAACTTACATGATCAATTCTACGGTTTCCTAACAATAAATCAACTGCAATGAGAACGTAATGAAAAAAGGTTAATTCTTGAAAAATAGCCTTAAGTAGTGTGCCATCTTTTTTTTAAATAATGATTAACAGAAATGTTATTTTGTTTTAAATTATTACTATTACTATTTTTTTTTTTTTTTTTTTTACATTTGCATGCCAAATCAATTTCTTCCAAATCAGTGTGGTGTAATCAACATGCAGAAAGGCATTTTGGGTCACACTTTACAACAAGGTAACATTTGTTACCATTAGTTAACAAGAACTAACAATGAAACTTTTGTATCTGTTAATATTATAATGGACCTGAGCTAACAATGAACAGTTGTATTTTTTATTAACAAATGTACATAAAGATAAATAAATACTGTAAAAAAAATACTGCTTATTGTTAAGGTTAGTTAAAGGTGGGGTAGGTAGGAATTCCTTTTTTCAAATTTGTTTAAACTGTCTTTATATACCAATACATAATTCAAATGTAAGTGCTCTGAAAAAGAGAGTATAAAAATCGAGTGACTAGACGTTTTAATCTGCAATAAACACAGCTCATTATTTCCATTCGAGACGAAAACAAATGATTGGTTTGGGCGACTGTCACTCTCTCTCGCTGCCATTGCAACATCCCTGCTGCTACATGGGCTGCCCAAATGCGCGCACTCGTTTGACTCAAGGAGGGTAAGAGGCTAGTAAGAGACACAATTACATGCAAAACACGGCGTATATGTTATGAATCTTACACGAAATTCACCTTCATCACAGTGTAACTGATTGTAATGGGAAAACGTATATCAATGCAACCTGTTTTTAGCTTTGCTTTATGTTACTAGCTCGTTAACGAATCAAACTCAATATATTTTAAACTTTACCAGTATCGATATGCTAGCTTGATAGTGAGTACTAACAGCCATGTTAATTGTTTATATTCATAATGATAAAGTTAGGAATTTTATTACATGTGAATCTGACATGATGTCACTACATGCACTGCGCTCCTCTCTGCTCGGCGCTGGTAAGCGCGTCCTCCAGCTGTGAGCGGTCGGCAGCGCGCGTTCATGTGTTTTGGAGGCGTGGTTTTGGAAGGAGCCCAGAATGGAGGGGGTGGGAGTGAATGGAGATAAGTAGCTGTGTTTATTACAGCCCTGAGAGGACTACAGACACTCGATTTTTATACTCTCTTTTCCAGAGTACTTACATTTTAATTATGTATTGGTATATAAAGACAATTTAAACAAATTTGGGAAAAAGTTTTTTAGACCAAAAACGACCTATACCCTACCTTTAATGCATTAACTAACTAAAAAAAAAAACTAATAATATATATATATATATAAAATCTTTAACATTTAAAAAATATGGATGAGGATCAGGACACTCACTACAAAAAACAACAACATATGACATGTTTGACAACATAAATAGAAAGAATACATCCATTTCAAAGTTATGTTTTTTTTTTCTAATTCATTTTCAAAAAAATTTTATTCATCATCTTTATCCTCAAATGATGCCTATCGCGGATCCATAATCTTTTGATTCGCTCACAGGGTGAGGTTTAGCATCAGTGGGTTAGATACTGGTAAAGAGTTTCACTTACACTGATCCTGGTCTCTGATAGCCGTTCGTAGAGCTGCTGTTGTCCAGCTTTCGCCGTAGGATTGTTTTAGGAGGCAGATCGAGGTATGTGGCGGATCTGGCACCGTCTTTATGATCCAAACACACTAGACTCTGTACAGACCCCACATAGCTCTTATGACCTCCAGAGAGCCCAAAACAGAAAAGTACAAAATTACTAAATGTTAGTTCTCTTACGAGAGGTTCTCTCGTATTGCATAAGTTTAGCTTACGCTACGGGTAAAGTTAATCTTTTCTCGAGATACTGAAGCCAAAATTATCCTTAATTTTGTAAACTTTGTCAACGCAGTGCAGCAGCTGCAGACCTAGAGCAGGCTGTCTAGCGCGCTCATTGGCTGCTCTGCGGCAACTGCAGCAGCCTACCAGTGAGCCTGGCGTGACGTCACGCCCAATGGTGACGCTTCACGCCCACTACGGGTCACAGCCCGCTCAAGTGGGTGTGGCTTAGCGTATAAAAGCAGGGCTCGGAGGCTGCTTCCCTGTTTTTCATCTTTTCATCTGATTTTCATCGAAGAAGCTCTTCGCACCGCTGGATCTAGAGAGAAGCCGCCGCCGTTGAAATCAGCGACTGCAAGCAGAGGAAAGCGCCTGAGGAAGCTGGTCGACTTCTCGCCGCCTTCAAGCCTTCCGTGCCAGCAACGCTATCCGGCGACATATCCTTTTCTGCTTATTGCATTTTGCTGTGTGTGTGTGTGCTCACCGCAGAGACACACACATCTCTCTAAAAGAGCGCGAGCGTTCTTTTCAGAATGCCTCGCATTTCCTGTGGCTCGTGCCGAGCCCCGCTCAGCGTCGGAGACAGCCATGTGATTTGCGCTCTCTGCCTGGGCCCAGACCACGCAGCCCTCGCACTTCGTCGGGAGGCTGCGTCCACTGTGAGGAGCTATATCTATGTCGACCCTGCGGGCTCGTCTAGACCTCTTAACGGCAAAGCTGTCACTCCGCCATCTGCAAGAAGAAGCGCCGTGCACAGAGACTGGCAGAGCCTGATGTGGCACTCAAACGTAAGCCGGAACGACTCCCTCGAGCATTTCTCTCTCCTTCTCCGCCCCCCCCCCCCCCCCCCAACTCACGTGATACAGCCGGCTGCTGCTGTCAGCGAGCCGCCGTGTCCAGGCGCTCATATCTGTCAGGCTATGAATGTAAGTCACATGCCCGCTCACGAGCACTCACGCTTACTAACAGACACACCGCCTCTGGCGCCGCTCGCACACTACAAAGTGCTCACTCGACGTTCCCCATTCAAAGCAATCGGGTCGTCATATATGAAACAGCTAGCCACTGCTGGTTATCCGGCTCACATCGTTGGTGTTTTAAGTGTCCCCGGCGCTGCTTGCGCATCACAGAATATTCATAAAACGCTCCCTGTTTACAGTAACCGGGTCGTCTCACTTAAAACAGCCAGCTGTCGCTGTCAGCGAGCCGCCGCATATGAACAGTCATATAAGTGAGTTGCTTTGAATGTAGGTTATGTGCCCGCCCCAGCGCGCTCACGCTTACTAATGAACGCCTTGCCTCCGGCGCCACTCACTCGCTACAAAGCTCTCAGAAAACGTTCCCGGTTCAAGGTAACTGGGGCGTCATATATGAAACAGCATGCCATTGCTGTTGGCGAGCTGCCGTATTCGAGCACTCATACCGGTCAGGCTGCGAATGTATGTCGCGAGCTCGCTCACGAGCGCTCGCACTAACTGTCAATCGCTCCGCCTCAAGCACCGCTCGTGCTTCAAAAAGCCATCATAAAACGCTCCCCATTCAGTGTAATCGGGTCGTTACATACGAATCAGCCGAAAGCGGCTGTCAGCGAGCCGCTTTGTTCAAGCACCGAGGGCGCGTGCGCCGCGCCCACATCTCCGGTCCAGTTCCCAAAGCCCACAGTGTGCGGCGATCGGGACCCAGAGGCCATTCTCCCCCTGGCCACACATGCAAAAGCATGGTAAGCGATTCCGGGGTTTCAGAGTGGGTGCTGAGCACAATAAGACAGGGCTATGCATTACAGTTCGCTCGCCGTCCCCCGCGTTTCCACGCACGGACCGAGTCGACAGGGAACGCGAAAGTAGCACATCTACTCCACGCAGAAATAGCCAAACTGCTGTGCAAAGGGGCTATAACCGGTACCACCTTCTCTGAGCGAGTCAGGCTTTTACAGCCGGTATTTTCTCGTACCAAAGAAGGACGGAGGTCTGAGACCAATCCCCTAAACTCTCATGAAAAGACGGTTCAAAATGATTACAACCAGACAGATTCTCGCGCAAATTCGCCTGAGGGACTTATATCTCTCGATCTGAAAGACGCTTATTTTCAGATACAGATTATACCCCGTCACAGGCCATTCTTGCGATTCGCCTTCGACGGCCAGGTATATCAGTACACCGTCCACCCGTTCAGCCTGTCCCTGGCACCCAGTACATTCACGAAGTGCATGGACACGGCGCTCGACCCCCTGAGAAGTCAGGGTGTGCGAATTCTGAACTATTTGGACGATTGGCTGTTTTTAGCACAGTCAGAGATGGAACTCGTATCTCACAGAATTATGCTACTCAGTCATTTGGAAAGCTTGGGTCTCACGATCAACTGGACCAAAAGCTCATTACCGTCAATCTCCTTTCTAGGAATGGAACTGGACTCTGTGGCTATGAAGGCTCACCTGTCGACAGAGCGCACGCGCCGTGTTCGACACCTAGCCGCATCTTTCCAGAAGGGCAAAACCGCCTCCCTGAAAATGTTTCAGAGGATGCTGGGCTGTATGGCCTCAGCTGCAGCAGTGCTTCGGCTGGGCTTACTGCGCATGCGCCCACTACAACGCTGGTTGAACGCCTGCGTACCTCACCAAGCATGGACGCGTGGCTACAGGCGGATCAGAGTGTCTCAGAGCTGCGTTTCAGCCCTGCAGCCCTGGTTAGCGGCCGATTGGTACCAGCAGGGGGTGACGGTGGGAGTGATTTCGCACCGAAAGGTCATCTCGACAGACACCTCCAACTCAGGTTGGGGCGGCCTTTTCGAGGGCAGACCGGTCTTTGGCCTGTGGTCAGACCGAGAGAAACGCCTTCACATAAACTGTCTGGAGATGCTGGCGGTCGAGAACATGCTGAAGCGCTTCCTCCCGTTCATACAGGACCAACACGTTCTAGTCCGCTCGGATAACATGTCCGTTGTGTCCTACGTGAACCGTCAGGGCGGTATCAGATCCAGGAGCCTCTGCGATCTGACAGAACGCCTCCTTCGTTTGGGCCCAGTGCTTCCAGCGCTCGCTGAGAGCGACGCATGTGCCAGGGATCCTGAACGATGGCCCGGACAGACTGTCCAGGGACAATATCCCCCCGGGGAGTGGTCTCTACACCCCCAAGCAGTCCAGTTGTTATGGCGCCTCTTGGCAGAGCGGAAGTCGACCTATTTGCGTCAAAGGACAACGCTCATTGCCCAGTGTTCTTCTCAAAGAACGAGGATGCGCTGGCCCAATTCTGGCCCAGCCGCCCGCTGTACGCCTTCTGCTGCTGCTTATGCGTCAAAAGGTCTGCAATGCCCTCTGGGCATCAGGGCTCATTCCACAAGAGGCATGGCCTCGTCGTGGGCATGGCCCAGTGTAATTTCTTTTCACGACATCTGTATGGCGGCGGGCTGGGCCTCCCCGTCTACATTTGTGCGATTCTATAACATGGAAGTTCCCGCCTTGCAGGCTAGACTTCTGTCAGTCTAAATATGTGTATGATCTGCCCACATGCTTGTGCGAAGGCTCCTTTCACTGTTTAGCTCTCCTGGTTGAGCTGCACTTATATGGGTTAATATATGTAACATGCAGCCCAGCGCCGCCGCTCTGCATTCCCCATGGGTGCTTATTAGGGGTGGAACGGTACACAGAAGTTACGGTTCGGTTCAGACGTCACGGTTCGGTACAATTTCGGTACAATGGAGTGAAAAGCAAAACAAAAAGGCAGAAGGCATTTTTATAAATGTCTTAAGCATTTATGTCTTCCCACTTTTCAGTGTTCCCCGGACTCCCTGGGACTCATAGAGTGGATGCTTGAATGCACCGATGCACGGCGTTGACAAAGGGTTCCCGTAGCGTAAGCTAAACTTACGCAATACGAGAGAACCTCTCGTAAGAGAACGTACTCGGTTATCTAACGTAACCTCGGTTCTCTCTAGAGAGGGAACGAGTATTGCGTAACCGGCCGTGCTCGCGCCACGAGCGATTTTCGCTTCAGATGATGAAAACCAGGGAAGCAGCCTCCGAGCCCTGCTTTTATACGCTAAGCCACACCCACAGCGGGCTGTGACGCGTAGTGGGCGCGAAGCGTCACCATTGGGCGTGACGTCACGCCAGGCTCACTGGTAGGCTGCTGCAGTTTCCGCAGAGCAGCCAATGAGCACGCTAGACAGCCTGCTCTAGGTCTGCAGCTGCTGCACTGCGTTGACAAAGTTTACAAAATTAAGAATAATTTTGGCTTCAGTATCTCTAGAAAAGATGAACTTTACCCGTAGCGTAAGCTAAACTTACGCAATACTCGTTCCCTCTCTAGATAGAACCGAGGTTACGTTAGGTAACCGAGTACATTTTTTTTTTGTCTAGATCAGAGGGTTACAAACTTTATACTGTATATATAAAGAAATTGCATACAGTTTTATAAAGAAAACATGGAAAATAAGACACAGTTGGAATACAGTTTGGTTTATCAATGTTGAAAATTGTTTTGGCTGGTTAATATTTTTTATACCATTTGAAACACTGATAATTTTTTTCAGGATTATTTGATGAACAGAAAGTAAAAGAATAATAATATTTTTGAAATTGAAATATTACTAACACTATAAATGTCAATTTAATAGATAAGTTATTAATAAATAAGTATTAATAAAATAATTAATTTCTTAAAATCTACAAAAAGCTACAAAAACTGTTTTTACCATTGATAATAATAAGGAATGTTTCTTGAGCAGCAAATCAGTATATTTGCATGATTTCTGAAGGATCATGTGACACTGAAAACTCAAGTAATGGCTGCTGAAAATTCAGCTTTGCCATCACAGGAATAAATTACATTTGAAAACATATTATTGACGAGCATTAGAGACTTCGAAAAACATTCCAAGTTGTGTGTGTTTGGCTCCTACCTTCTGTGATATGTAAAGATCTTAGAGATGGGGCGTTGGAGCGGTTAAGCTGCGCGGATCTGATTCCTACTGAGTGAGGAGCCTTTGCTGGTGCTGGTGAAGATCTGGCAGCTGAGTTCACACCACAGGAGTCCCATTCCACACGTGCAGCGTCCTCTCTGGAGCTGGAGTCGGGACTGCTGGTGCAGGTGGGGGTCTGCCGCAGGCCGGGGAACGGGGGCTTGTCTTTGGGCTGTGGAGAGGAGCAGGTTTTGGAGGAGCTGTTCTGCTCTGAGGAGTGTGAGGAGAGGGAGTCCATGCTGCCGATTGGAGTGCTGCCTGAACTACTGCTGAACGTATCGCCTGCAGGGACAGTAAGACATACAGCAGATGAAAACTACAGCATATCTTAAATTGATCACAGCTGATTGATTTATACAGTGACTAGGTGAAACATGAAAATGTCAAAATGTCCAGGTCACGGTCCACTTCAAAATGAAAATAAAATAAATAAATATGAGCCTATAAGCCTATTTTCTTATCTTTTTTTTTTTTTTTTTTTTTTTTTGCATAGTGTGATTTTAATGACAATTAGGCAGATTTTCCCCAAAGATTTCTTATTAATGTAATTTGTCCGAGGTGTTTTACTTTTTACTAATTCCCATTATTCTTACTCATAGCGATTAGATTCTCACCTTTTTTTTATATTTTAACCAGCATAAATAAGGAAGTAAAATAAATGCTAACACAAAGTACAAACAGTAATAAAATAATAATAATAAAATCACATAAAAATAACAAGAATGAGATTTTTTCCCCACATAAAATATAAGTAAATATAAATTATTATTTCTTTTTTTTGATTTTGGGTTAAATATGACCCAGATATGTTCTTAACATTTTATGAATTATAAAATGGGGACAATACATTTTTGTAACAATTATTATTTGTTATGATACATAATTTGTATGATCCCTGTATTAAAACCAGAACCAAAAATTAACAACAGTAAATAGTATAGCACACAGAGATAACAGAATAATCAAAGATTATTATATTACAACAAAATTATGACTATGAAATTAAGAGTACATATGATAAAAAAACTGAATTTAACAAATAATTTAAAAATGTTCTAATTGCAAATAATATTGTACAACCTGTGAATATACAGTTTACAGTCATTACAACTTTTCAAAATGTTATTTTATGTTTAATTAGGCTTATTATTTTGCATGTTAGAAAACAATTTCTCCACATTTAATTGTAAAAAAAAAAAAAAAAGAAGTATGTTTCATACATATTAGGGTGTACTTTCACCCATGTGCTATAAGACGTGTGTGTGTGTGGGGATTACCGTGTTGAATCTTTCTGGAACGTTTTAAATTGTGTGCAAATCTCACACCCTGTTCAGGCCCTGTTATATAGTACATACAACGAGTATTACTTTAATTTAACAAGCAGCTTAACCAGCAGGATATATTGGTTGGGCTTTTTGGAGTGTATCTGTGGGCTCTAAAATGGTCATTTCCATGGACAGCTCTACTTCCGGGGACAAGACACCAGAAACTGGGACTGTTCGCCCTATGCTACGGAATTACAAGGCGGTTACGTACTGGCACAAGTAAGATAAAAGTCTCCATAATATTCTGGTCACTAAGGACTTCAGTCCCTCCTTTAATACAAGTACACTCACCTAAAGGATTATTAGGAACACCATACTAATACTGTGTTTGACCCCCTTTCACCTTCAGAACTGCCTTAATTCTACGTGGTATTGATTCAACAAGGTGCTGAAAGCATTCTTTAGAAATGTTGGCCCATATTGATAGGATAGCATCTTGCAGTTGATGAAGATTTGTGGGATGCACATCCAGGGCACGAATCTCCCGTTCCACCACATCCCAAAGATGCTCTATTGGGTTGAGATCTGGTAACTGTGGGGGCCATTTTAGTACAGTGAACTCATTGTCATGATCAAGAAATCAATTTGAAATGATTTGGGCTTTGTGACATGGTGCATTATCCTGCTGGAAGTAGCCATCAGAGGATGGGTACATGGTGGCCATAAAGGGATGGAAATGGTCAGAAACAATGCTCATGTAGGCCATGGCATTTAAACGATGCCCAATTGGCACTAAGGGGCCTAAAGTGTGCCAAGAAAACATCCCCCACACCATTACACCACCACCACCAGCCTGCACAGTGGTAACAAGGCATGATGGATCCATGTTCTCATTCTGTATACGCCAAATTCTGACTCTACCATCTGAATGTCTCAACAGAAATCGAGACTCATCAGACCAGGCAACATTTTTCCAGTCTTCAACTGTCCAATTTTGGTGAGCTCTTGCAAATTGTAGCCTCTTTTTCCTATTTGTAGTGGAGATGAGTGGTACCCGGTGGGGTCTTCTGCTGTTGTAGCCCATCCGCCTCAAGGTTGTGCGTGTTGTGGCTTCACAAATGCTTTGCTGCATACCTCGGTTGTAACGAGTGGTTATTTCAGTCAAAGTTGCTCTTCTATCAGCTTGAATCAGTCGGCCCATTCTCCTCTGACCTCTAGCATCAACAAGGCATTTTCGCCCACAGGACTGCCACATACTGGATGTTTTTCCCTTTTCACACCATTCTTTGTAAACCCTAGAAATGGTTGTGCATGAAAATCCCAGTAACTGAGCAGATTGTGAAATACTCAGACCGGCCCGTCTGGCACCAACAACCATGCCACGCTCAAAATTGCTTAAATCACCTTTCTTTCCCATTCTGACATTCAGTTTGGAGTTCAGGAGATTGTCTTGACCAGGACCACACCCCTAAATGCATTGAAGCAGCTGCCATGTGATTGGTTGATTAGATAATTGCATTAATGAGAAATCGAACAGGTGTTCCTAATAATCCTTTAGGTGAGTGTATATGGGATTTTGTTCCACCTGTTTTATCAAACCTTAGCAAAACCCACTAAAATAAGTAAATGTGTTAATGGCGCTAAATAATGTGCTGATGTCAAAATATAAAATTCATTTCTTACGTAATCATGAAACAGTACAGAGTGGATGTACTATCAACAGAGAATGTGAAATGTGAGGATTACTGGCAGTGTAAGACTCACTGTCCGGGTCAGCCAGGCACAGTGAGGGTGTGTAGAGGCTCTTGGGTTTGCGAGGTCCAGATGAGAGGCAGATGGCTCTGCTCCTGCGAGACCCTGCCTGAGACTGAGGCTGCGGCAGGGGAACATTAGTGTCCGGCGCTTGATGAAATATCTGTGAAGACATACCCAAATAACATGACCAATTCGAAAAAAGTTTCTGTTTGATTAGGGATGCAAGCTCCAAAAAGCATTAGTATTAAGTAATCCACATGTAATATGCATTTATTTGTGTTTGTGTGTGTGTGTGTGTGTGTGTGTGTGTGTGTGTGTGTAAGTGCCAGTAAAGACCTTCTATTTCAAATCAAAAACATTTAAAAACAACATTTCTATGCTGGACCTTTGATCAAAGACTCCTGAAAATAATGGTAACAATAAGAAATGTTTCTAGAGCACCAAATCTGCATATTAGATGAGTAATGGAGTAATGAGTAATAAATGCTGAAAATTCAGCTTTGACATCACATTTTAAAATATATTCAAAAAGAAAACAGTAAAAACACAATATTGTGAAATAATATAGCTACAAGCAGCAATTATCAGGGCCAAGCACTAAACATGATCAACTGCAACAATGAGCAATTAAAGACATATTAAGACCATTTTAGGCAAAAATAATGGCTGAAAAAACATAAATATAGTAATTTGATTTAATGGTTTATCACTTTCAACTAATATAGGTGGCACTGTGACCAATTTGATGTGGTGTGGTAAGAGTAAGGTGACAATGACACATGCAAACTTTGGTGTCAATATGCCAAAGCATTACAGAGATACAGCCTCAGAGTCGTTTTGGCACCATGCCATTAACCTGTTAACCGTCACCAGTGCGTGGGCGCTCTGAAGCGTTTTTTTTTTAAAATAGTTCAAAGTTACTATCATATTTAATGTGATTAACTTGACAAACTATACATCATTAAAACGATATAAGACTCAAGTTTCAGTATTTGACCACTATTGTATTCTGTGAAACTTATAGTGACAGTTATGTCTTAATTTGTGTCAGGAGTTATGAAATAAAAAAATGAGTCGTTACCTTTAATATGAATTATGAGCGTCAGCTGCTCTCATTCAGAAAAAAACTCCCGTGCGATCGTCATGACAGCGATTCACAAAACAACGTCCCTCAGGGCTTTTAGCTCAAACATGTGCAGATTTGGAGAAATATTGATAGATTCTCATAGGTTTACATCAGACTTCTATAGACAGGAATAATATTTATTGAATTTATACCCAAATGCGTCGATGTAATCATTTTGAGCGCTGTATACTCTGATGTACTGTGTTATCAATACTAACAGTCTGGGGCGCTGTTTGCACAGTAAAGTCCATATATGGATCACATGAAGAAGAGCCATAATCATGTGACATTCAGGAAGTCCTGACACATAAACAAAGCTATCCGAGATCGCTGTAAAGTGCAGATAAAGATGTTTTGAAGACAATAAACATGATTGCAATGATATTTGATTTACCTGTGTTCTTCGAGTCATGTCAGGTATTTTCATAATAATAGATTATATGTATAATGTAATGCTAATCGAGATAGACTTTCAAATTGTGCAGAATACAATAAAATAATATATTTTCTATCTGATTTTTTTATCTGAAGCCAAATCAGATTACAGAAAGTTATTTAAAACACTCGACTTGCGCTATAAAGTAAGTTGGAGCACAAACATAGTTTTATTCTCATAAATTGTCGTGTATTGATGGTGTGCTAAGCTAACATGCTAGCTAGTACTGAGCACCTGCTACCTAACTTCGATGTAATTTTTATGATTTTTTTTCTAAATAAGAATGCTTACTGAAATGTTTCGTTTTTCAAAAAGGGCATTTGATACAGTTTCACTGTGAAGTGAGAACTTTTATAAAATAAATGAGGGATTGAAACAGTGTGAATTGCTAGTCGTTAGTGATTATAATGCAGACAAAAGAAAAGCATATTTAGAGCAATAAACAGGCTGGAGAGGTGTGAATATGTGCAGGGGAGCCTGAGACTGAATGGGACTCGTTTTTGCATCACAAAACAATAGAGGCAATAGACTGAATAGATGCTTATAAGATGACAATAAACACCAGTCTAATCAAAATAAAGTCATATGACATGATCTTGAAAAACATTGAACTAAATACAGAGTTTTAGACTTATCATCTTCAGATTTTAAATATAACATGGTTAGACATGTGGCTTTAGCTGCAGTGCATTTCTAGATTGCTACAATGCCAACTTCAATTTTATTTTCATGAAGATGTTTCATAAAAATAAATGTATAATAACTTTACAAAACTTTGAAGCTATTTATAACTATTTTTTTTCATTATGACAATAATTAATTCTACATTTACAATAAACTTCCAGGTGTCAGCTTTCAAATGAGATCTTACTTGTGCTTTTAGTACAAAGGGTTCATGAACTGTATCTGTTTCAGTTTGGGTATGCCATATCTGGGGATTTTTCAAAAATGGGCTTGAAGCTTAACAGGTTAACTTTGTTGATGCGGAATATAAAAAACAGTCTATCAACACGAAATCCATAACACAATCTGAAGATGATACGATTTGATTTCGGTGAAAACCGGACAAACGATCTAGGAGGAGTTCGAAAAAATAGTTTTTTAAAGAAAATCAAAATGGCGGACAGGAAATTCAGCCGACTATGGCAAAATTGGTATCTATGTTCTCAGCATGACCCAAGGAATCTATTAAGACCAGTTTCATTAGGCTAATCAAAAGTTGTTAGCATTTTTGGAAATTGCATTATAACTTTTTACCACAAGGTGGCACTGTCCTGAAACTTTTTGAGTACTGTCAGGGTATGGTGCCGAAGACACATACAGGGTTTTGTGACGATACGCCAATGCGTTCGTAACATATGGCATTTGATATGAGAAAATTTGGTATCGTGTGACTCGGCATGCTACAAAAACGTACATTTTTCTCCATGTCTCCTGACCACTAGTTGGCACTGCACCGAAGCGGTGCAGGTAGTCTAAGGTCATGGTTGTCATAACACAAACCAAGTCTGGTCAGAATTTGCCAAAGCGTTGCAGAGATACAGTATTACATCCATTTTTGCGCGCTCTTCGTTGAATTTGTTTGCACGTTATTTGAGAACGGTTTGATGAATCAACTTGAAGTACATAACTTTTTGTCAGCATTATTTGGTTACATTTTTGTGAAAATCGGAGTAATGGCCTACAAGGAGTTTGAAAAAGTAGGTTTTTCGGAAAATTCTAAACGGTGGGAAAAGTTTCAGGACGGAAATCTTCCAGAGCGTAAGAAGACGAAGAGGAACGCCAACGATGAGAATAGGTGCTTAGCCCTTAATTATTGCAAATTTGTACAATGATCAAATAAATGCAGCCTTGCTGAGCAAAATATACTTAATTATAATATATTTTTTCATCTTACTGATTTGACCTTACTTTTGAACAGTGGTTTACAGTTATATATATATATATATATTTACAGGAGATTGTTATGAATTATCTTTGATTTTACTTGCCTTTTCAAAATTTTCGATGAGAATTTCTACCACAATGTTTTGAAATTTGATGTTCATCATGGCAGCAACAGTTTCCTCTTGTGAGCGCATGAGCGTAGGGCCGAAGATCACTCCCAGATTGGACACCGTCATCATGTTACTCTCACTGTGAGCGGACACACTGCAGGGACACGTGTCAATCAAATCCTCAAACCATTATTTCAAACTTCAAATAATAATTACCCCACAAAATCCGCTTACACCAACAAAAATGACTGGGTTATGCTTGTTGTTAGTGCTACCTAGTGGGCATGCTGTTTACCACTTAATTTTAAATGATGAAGGTCACAGACTACGAAAGTTTTGTTGGTTAAGGTAGTTTAAGGTGTTGTAAGCGATATCTGAGAAACACTGTTGATATTTGAAATCGACACCCAAACAAACAAACCCATAGCCAAAAGAAACACCCCTTCATTGCTCTGCCCAAAAAAATTATACGCTATGCAACACAGGCAACTACTAACAGCTGGCGCATCGGACAGCTCTTGCAACTGTGGATGAATCAACTGTGATTCAACAATTACAACAACAGCATAGAAAAGCATTGTGAAACATAGCAAAAACTAAAGTTACTCGTGTATCGAGCAGAAACAAAGCAAACTCTGCGTCCATTTTCAGGTCTTCCCGCATTCTAACGTCTCTCCTGCACTGGAGAGTTTTCAAATTTCAACAGCATTTCTTAGAAATCGCATACTGCACCTTTAAGAAAGTCTTGTGAAGACACCAGCATCCATGAACACATACTGTACACTGCTGCTAAACTAACATTTTATATAACATTTTGCTCTAAATAAATCTACAAAGCATTACACGAGACTAAGAAGAAAGTGAGTTTAAAGAGAGAAAGGTTTTAATTTTTGAGTAAAAATGTAATCTAAATCTACATTCAGGACTGGGCCATAGCCTACTTGAGTAGGTGTTTGATTAATATCTCCAACATCTCTTTGTTTTTGTCAGGTAGTTTATGCACCAGCGCGTGAACTGCACACACTCTGTAGTTCTGATCATCAGATTCTGAAAGAAAACAGACCAAACACATCAAGTGACGTGACGTGTGTAGCCAAGTATGGTGTCCCTTATTCTGCATTTCACTCATCCAAGTGCACACACACAGCAGTGAGTATCAACACAACACACCATGATCACAAACTCAACCCAAATATAAAATAACAGGCTCCTAAAAGAGTGTGTTAAAAATCTAAACAAATATGTTTAATATCTAATTCAACTGCTTTAACTTACTGACAGCCATGAGGAAGTCAGAGTGGAGCTTGTATGTCATGAGCGGCTCAGACAGACACCTAGTGGACGGACACAAGAATGACATCTTGTTATCTCCTCTCTCAGAAATGCTATTGGTTATTTTCAACTCTCTCAAACAAAGAAAGGTACACATTGTTTCAGGGCAATTCTCACTAACATCTTGAACCTCCATTAGGAGTAGTGACGTCAGCCTGAACACACGAACCTGAGGTAATTCTTGAGGCCGCTGGTGATAGTCTTGTTGTCCCATGTGTCTGGGTCCAGATCCATATCTGATGCTGCTTTGGGTGCTGTAAGAGAAACCAAGGCACATGTACAACATTGTTTGTGTGCAGATGTTGTAGTGACATTAAACTTTAAACATTTATGACCCATGGAAACTGCTAATCCAACATAAAAGTAATTTGGGTGAATCTCATATTTCACAACATTTTCTTACAAAATAAGAAACTAATGTTGCAAGAAAATTAAGGTGATTGTTAGGACCAATTTTTACATTGTGTAAAAAAAAAAAAAAAAAAAAATGATGTATCATTATTTTTGGTTATATCATCACTATGGTAATAATAGTGAGGGCTTTTTTTTTCATTACAGGTGAAAATGTGCTTACCAGTCAAGAAAGTTTCTCAATGCAAAAATATGAATGTTCTAAAATAGGCCTCATTTCCCCTATTCAAAGTACAATCTCTTATTTCTTTCATTTAAAAAAAAAAATCATATCAAATATAACAGTAAAATAATATGTATATGAGGGCACATTAATAAGAAAGTTTGCTTTGAGAAATCATTTATAATAAACAATGCACCATCCCATAAATAAAATAAGAATTGTCAATTTTGGTGTCATGGTGACTCTTAAAGTTGGTCTGTGAAGGTTTTATACTTGATTGAGGGTTTATAGACACACTGATTCCAGGAATTTGTTGGAACATCTTTCAGAACAAAATGAATAGCTACCAGACGTGACGTGTAAACTCCAAAATTAATTAATTTGACGAGAGGGAACTGCGCCAGAGCAATGTATCTTTGCTAGCCTGGCCTGAATCACACATTTCTGTGTCTAGTTCTCGAGTTGTGTAGAGTGAAGGGACTTACAGAAGACTGTGATCATGAGCTTCTGCACTTTGGAGTTTATTCCACCGACTCTGTACAAACCCATAGTGTTGAGCCCTGCTGAGAGGAGAATATATAGACACAGAACATATAGAAATATATAAACACAACATACATTCACACTTAATCTCTAGATTCCCAGAGAGGGAGACTAAAAGACATATACATTTCTTAATCTAATGTCAGTTTAGGCACATTTCTGACTGTTAGGATTTTTGATAGACAGATAGATTGAAATAGAAATATGAATTGGAATTAGAAATATGAATAATTTTAAATCATTTAAAAAAGAAATGTTTATTAACATTATAAATGTCTTTAAAAAAAGGACAGAGAACATACCCATTTCATAAGGCACACCAACACTTACTAACATTACTAACAGGATTTTGTATTTTTTGGGGCAAAAGCGTATCTCAGATAAAATGTGAAAGACACCTTAACATTGCCAACAATACTTTTTAACAAAACTTTGTAAATCTTATTATTACACTTATTTTTTAACCAATTCCATGGATACTTGCTTAATGAAACTAAGAATCGCACTGACCCCAAACATTTGAACGGTGGTGCAAATATAATAATAATAATAATAGCCTAATTATGATAAACACAGAATAATAATCAACACTGATATTCAGGGAAGACAATTAAATATATACACACACACACACACACAGTATTTCATTCAGGGTGAGATTCCTAAAACATGACTATTAAAATATTTGTATTTATTTATTTGTAATGTACTACTACTAGTACTATCATTATAATTAGTATTATAAGGAATAAACACACACACACGCGCACGCACATTTCTTTCATAGGGTTCATCCTGAAACATGACATTACTAAACATATTTTACATTATTTAGTTGGAACATTATTTTTTTCTATTATTATTATTAATATTATTATTATAATAAGGATGCAAAAATAAAAAAAAGTATGGAATGCTTTATTCACAATAAATATCCTATAAGGTAAGAGGCAATAAACACAAAACTCACCTCTCATCTCCACCAGCTGTATACAGTTCCTCACAAAATTAAAGCCAGCCTCATTTAAATATGCTATAAAAGACAGGTGAAAAGAAACAACATGTTCAATAGATGGATTTAGCGTGCGTCACACTCAGGGGGATGCGGCTTACTCTGGTTGTACTCAATGTAATGCTATCGACCTTGTAAAAGGAAACGAGAGAGCAGAGACACACAAAGGGTGTAGTGATGGGAAACAGAACACATTATCTGAATAAGTGTTTGTTAAACACAGCTAATCTGATAAGAGCATGTGAGGTCAGACTCAAACATTAAGCTCACACTGATTGAAAAGACATAATACACAATAAAATGAAATATGTCAAACAAATAAAGCCTTCACATGATAAACATAAATACACTGCTTAGAGATTTAAATACTTACTCTCCTCTTTCTTGCTCATAATAGCAGGGAGATTGTAGATCTAAAAGAGTGAACAATTCTATTATTGTATTGATTTCACCGTGAATTACTTGAGCAATTAAATAGCTGATAATCCATTTTCACATGTTTTGAAGAAAATACCTGAACTTGAGGATCTTCTGAAGCTCGAATCAATACAGAAGCAATGATGACAACCAAGTCAAAATAGTATAAAAAGGGGAGAAAGTTTCTCCAGCACTCACCGGCTCTTTGCCATCCATAGCTTCCAGCCAGAGTCTCCTGTTGGACTCCGACAGCGCTTGTAGCGTGATGATGCCATGCCTGAAGACAACGCAGCACTTTAATGTCTGACATGCTCTAGAAATATCCTGCCTACTTACTATAGTTCCTGTATAGAGCATTTGCTCGTATATGCCTAAACTAAGGAATGTAGTTAAAAGAAAGGATTCGAACGAAATGTCGCAACATCATTGACAATTGACTAAAGAATCAAAATTCTGTCATCATTTACTCACCCTATGTCATTTCAAACCAGTATGACTGTGTTTTTTTTTAGTGTGGAACATAAAAAGATATTTTGAAGAATGCTGGGAACGAAACAGTTTTGGTTACCATTGACTCCCATTTCTCAAAATATGATAGCTTTTTTATTTTTGGGTGAACTATTGCTGCTCAACCTAAACTAAAAAGGATAGTTCACCCAAAAATAAAAATGCTATTATATTTTGCCATCCTGTATGATTTTTGTCCTTATATGGAACACAAAAGAAAAAATTTAGCAGAATGTTCAAACTGCTCTTTTCCATACAATGAACTAGAAACAGCTTCAATTTTGCACTAAACTGTTATATTGTATAGAGAGGATGAAGGTTATTAGTTAGGTGATAGTTTATTAATATTTTTTCTTTTTTTCTTTTATTATAATTTTTTCTTTATTTTCTTATGTAATTTTTTATTGATTATGTATATAAACATATATGTAAACGTAAATATGTATGTTATTTTTTTTTTTGGTGTGTAGAGACAAATAGATCAAAATGTTCGGTCAACTGTTTAATTAGCTAATTAATTATTAAAAGTAGTGGAGATGGGGTAGGATTGAATAAGCTTATGCTTCTTCCTACTCCTTTTCGGACATGTATAAGTAAAAATTTTTTTTTTTTAATGTTATTAATTGTTTTTTGATATTAATTGTTAGTATGATTGTATTTTTTTTTTTTTTTTTTTTTTTTACATGTTCGAAATAAAAACTTTTCATTCATTCATTTTATAACTTACGAAGACTTAGAGCCTATTATATAAGAGTCATATTGGTAACTTTTATGGAGTTTTTTCCCCAAATTTTTAGAGGTCCTGGGGACTATATGATGTTGTTTTATGGACAAGAGCAGCATGAACATTCTTCAAAACAATAAGAAGTAAAAAGAAAAAAAGAAAAAAAGAAAGTCACAGGGGTTTGAAATGACATGATGGTCAATCTACGATGGGTAATCTATTCAAAAAGCATGTTGTGTGATGGACTTAAACATTTACATTTCCCATGCTCAGTAACACTACACACTCTTGGGAAAAAAACGATTTAGTGCTATTTCTTTTACATAAACATCAATTCAACCATATATTATATCTGTGCTCGGAGTTTCACACCGATTAGAATCACAAGGAATTAATTCACCCATAAATATCGCCTATGGATCTTCTTTACACATGATTTGACAGCATTTGCATGAACCGTATCTGTAAGGTGAACGTTAGAGCGAGCTCATAGCCATTAACGCGTTCCATGCCTGTGCAACAGCTGTCACTAATATCTGTGCATGGATGAACGAGCTATAAGCTCAGTTATGCTTTGATTATCACCATCCCGCTTGTTAGAGCAAGCACGCTGCAGTGCAGTTTGAAGGTGATGGTATTAGAGGAGATTTGTGTATGTCAGGAAGCGTATGCATATCAGGTCATTTATAGTGACTACCGTGGCTCATCCAATCGAAATTTACAGTCAAAACTTTCTGCTTATAATAAATATAAATCATCTTTCAACAACTTTTTCAGAAACAGAACATTTTGAGATGGAATTTTAAGTGAACTACTGTACAAAACCTAGTGAGCTGCCTTGCTGTCTACATAGGCATCAGTATTTTAAAGAACTTCATTAATAGTGAGTGATTAAAAATAATATACACAGGCAGCAAATCCACAAATCACGCAAACTGCCTTCCTCACATGAATTTAATTAGAATCCAGAGTTTGAAGAGTAACACATGATATCCTTATTGGCAAAGAAGCATGTAACACACTTTTGTGTAAATAGTGTGTAAAATGCAAAATAGAGCTATTTTTATTGATACTTCTGAGTTTTGACTGAAATAAGTATACTCATTTCTTATTTTGGATAATTCACAGAGCTTGTCGCAATGCATCATAAAAGGGTTTGTGAGGGAATGACGGGGGTTCATGAGATGATGAAAAGCTAATCAATTGATAAATCAAATCATAAGGTGTAAAATTAAAAAACATAAAACATTTTTTAACACTTACTAAAAATAAATTTGTTTAGCGGCATGGCATGACACGACCAACATCCAAGACTTGTGAACATTGCGAAAGTGTTGTTAAATTATTGAAAATGTTGGGGTTTCAACAGTTTTTCAGCCTGGTGTATAATGTTGATTTGATGTTGTGATTTTTGTTCCTTGATGTCAAAGTGATAGTTTGTGATATCCAGATCAAAAATGAGTTGGTAGAATCACTCAGCCAGTTAAATCAAATCAAACTGTTATCCCACCAATTATGGGTGCAGGAAAGGTGCTGGATTTTCAACATGCAATCCTTTAAAACCACCGGGGTGAGAAATGAGCTTTGATCAGCGTGGGATTTGGAATGCAGCACACATGCGCTACAACATGCTTTTTAGCAGTAGGGCACAGGTCTGGTCACATACCGGGCTTTACAGAAAAATTGCAGTGGTCTGAAAAGAGATCCACGATAGATGGTATTTCTAGATTGAAATAAACACAGAGAAGGGACAAGGGAAATGGGCACATACAAGGTAAACTGTCAGAAAACAACAGTGCAACCTTACACTAGGTGGCAAAGAACATGAACAGACAGGAAGTTACATTTGCAGCTACTTACCAACATACAGGTCTGGCTGAGTGTTAGTAGAACATGCGTGTTCTACTGAGTGTGCACAGTGTAATAACACACATATAAATGCATACATATTTGCCACCTAATATAGTAAGACTGTGCCATGAAGGCAGATGCAAGTAAAAACAGAAGATTATACAGTTAGATTACATAGAAGACACATTGTACAGTTAGTGTGAAAAAAAAGGCACAAGGAGCATGCAGAAAACAGAAATGCAGGCCACTCTTAAAACAAGAAGGGAAGCTTCATATTTGAGCCCACAGAGAAAAAGAAACTATAGCAAATGTTATAGGAAAAGGAATTCACCCAAAAAAAATGAATTTGGTCATCATTTACTCTCCCTAAAGTTGTCTATCTGTATCTGTCAATCAATCAACCAATCAATCAATCAATCAATCAATCAATCAATCAATCAATCAATCAATCAATCAATTCTGAAGACTTGTCAGTGCTCACCAATAAGGACTTTTTTCTGTTGGCAACATTTTCCCTGGCCACATCACAAATATATATATATATATATATATATATATATAGAATTTCTATTTCATTAAATGGTAAAAAACGGCCTGGACATTCTTTAAAACGTCCTTTTGGTTCCATGGAAGAATGCCATGAATAAATAATGACAAAATGATCATTTTTGGATGAAATATTTGAAAGTTTTAAAACGTCTGTGCTGTCACTGCAGACACCCACCTTTCAACAACCTCGATATCAAAACAGAAGCGTTTATCAATCGAGTCAGTCTTCCTCCTAATACAGGACTTCAGTCTGAACTTCTCTGGGGGATTTGACATGACACCATTCTGTGAAAAGAGAGAGACAGACAGTGAGGATCTGAAGCAAACAGCACCTGTCATCCCACATGAGCATCTTTGTACCTGTTTAGCTGTGGGCTTCGCCTCTGTGTTGCACATGCTGAAGGTCTTACTAACTTTCTCATATGTGCAATAATGCCGTGTCCATGTGCAGCCCAAAGGCCCTGCGACACACACATGAAAAGTGCAAATGTGATATACTTGCTTTGAGGTATTTGGGAAAACATTGTTCATTTGCAGCTCACAAAAATTCTGGACAACATGAAGGCTACTAAAAAAAAATCTTTTTATATACAGTATAATGTATGTTATAAATTATTTTTTCCCAAAAATATTTAAAGTGCTATACAGGCAATGAAATATATTTCCTACAACATAATAAATGTTAGATATTCTAAATCTTTTAATTCATTTTTTAGAATAGAAAATAAAAATAAAATAAAATCTATGTACAAAATATGTATTTATAATTTGTATTTTTGAATTTTCACTGAAATTATTTAATACATTTTTGGATTACATTTATATATTTTGATTTTAAAATATAAAAAAAGCAATAGATTTTATATTAGCAATATATTTAGCAAACAACTCTTCACTAAATCTTCATTGTGTATGATGTATCAGTCCACAAGAGGGCAATGTTTTTCTTTCCTACAACAGGTCATTCTCTGTCATATCTGAAATGATCTGGTGATAATCAAAATCATTCTGTTTACATGTGGATTTTATTTTGGCATTTCCTTTGCAGTGTGAACAAACAGGAAAATACAGGATAAGACTAGAAAGAGGTCACTTAGGAAAGATGGTAACACTTTATTTTGATGGTCCCTTATGAACATTCTGTTGACTATAAGTAATATAAAGCAGACACTCTACTAATACTCTAATGAGAGTTAATTGACATTTAGTTGCTAACTCTGTCCTCAAACAGACATTCTACTGACTATAAGTAACTTCGCAACAACATGTCAACTTATTCTAACCCTAACCCAGTATACTAACACTCTACTAACACTCTATTAAGAGTTAGTTGACATGTAGGTGCAACGCTACTTATAGTCAACAGAATGTGTTAAAGGGACAATGAAAATAAAGTGAAACCAAAAAGATAAATATGAAGACACATGAAAACAAAATTCTAGACCTGTTATCACCATGTTTGAAAAAAAAAAAGGGTCTGGCATGGAAGGTTACAGGCTGTCTGTCCTTTTGTTTGCTCACCGCTCTTGCCTGAAAGATTGAGGACTGTCCATATGACACTCACGTTTCTCCTGGACATAGAGGTATCCCTCCATAGTCCACTGGCCCGGGGGCTTCTGGTCTTGATCAGCAGATCGTACTCTCTTCATCAGCATTTCTACTTCCTGCTTGGTGCTCAAAAAGTTGTTTCTTGTCTTCATTTAACACACACACACACACACACACAAAAATCACACATATGCAAACAGATCATGGGAACTATATCTCAGCAATGCAACTGCCATTTTAAAACAGCCTTTCATAATTGATCTGACATATGTGAATTTATTTAAAACCATACATGGCACTGAAATAAGTAATAGACATTTACAGTATATAAACATGCATAAGAACCAAAAGATCTGTTCAAAAAGATAAGTGACCGAAATTAAACCACACACTGTACGTGACTGATTTGTAAAACTCAGGCATGAGAATCACATGCAATCTAGGCATACTGGCCTCTAACTACGTTTTTGCAAAACTCCAAAAACGCACCTATACACACAATTCACCGCAGTTTCCAGCTGTAATGAACACTAGTGGCGGTAAGACTCCAATTGTTTTTATTCCTTTTCACACAAATTATAATTACAGAGGCATATTATCGGTAAATAAAGACTTTTTGGTAACACTTTAGAATACTGTTCCGTCATTAATGAACAACTACACAGGAACAAATGAGTAACACAATATTAACATTCTATCTCTGATTAATGAATTAGTAAGTAATAGCGCTCAGTTGAATGAGGTAGTTCACTATTAGCAAATCAATAACTACTATTTCTTACACCTCCCAGAGGACTAACAACTACTATATACAGGTTCATAATTAATAAAAGTAATGCAAAAAGTATAATTAATTCTGAAGTGAAGATAATGACTCAAGTATTACCAAATCCTTCAGAAGGATGCGTTATAAGATGCCTTAGAGCTGGCTTAGATTTTGGCAAAAAATTTTGGGAGCATAATTATACTGCCTATCATGCGAATTAGTGTTCACATTGATACCTAAAATGTTGCCTAGCTAGGCAGCTCATCGGTTTATGAAACAGAGCTATAATCAGAAGACTTTTCAAAAGTACTATAGTGGTAAACTTAAGTTTTTAAAGCACCGTAATACTATAGTGTTCTCCTTGTTGCCACAATAAGTTTGTTTCGTACACTATAATGGATTTTAAAACATTTTCAACTCAAATCAATATGTAATTTTTGTGAAAAGTATTTTAATATGTGGCATGCCTGTACATTATCCCTTGATTTGATGTCTCATACCGCACTGACAGACGGCAATAGACTCTTCGTGGGGTTTTATCAGATCATTGTGAATGTCGCCGTTGGTTTGCGTCTGTCGATGCAGTGTGAGTTGGCCTTGACAAGTACAATTCAATATCTGGTGTCCAATTGTTTAGTTATATGGCAAGTAGCGAGTAATAAGCTGGATAATGTACAGAACATTCAGCCAGATGTTATTGCAAAATAAACCTTCACACAAGACCTGTCCTGATCAACCTGTCCGAATTTATTTATTATATTTACTTCATCCCTTACTAAATGCACAGCTAGCCATGAATTTTCCCTCATATACTGTATAGTGTATATACACCAATTGCTGGAAGGAAAGGAAAAGAAATGGCTTCATTTCCTTCTTTTGTCCTCTGGAGTACTGACATCGCAGCCAAATACATCAATGTGAATTATCAATGACACTCCTACAATATTAAATGTGCTTGTCCTGCGGTAGTGAATTACATTTAAGGCTAATGTCTCATGCTTTCACAGCAGTGTTAATTCAGCGTATATATATATATATGCCGCAGTGCTGGCATAGTTCTGCAGCAGCACAGGTCTTTTGTGCTGAAAATCTGTGACACTACATCAGCTTTGAGCTCACTGTGACAGTGATGCAAAGAAAAGGTCAAAGGTCATGGATCCCGAAACAGAGATGCTGACGAGCAGCAGGAAGTGGTTTATAACGGGCAAATATTGATCAAAGACACACAGTGCAGGTTAAAGTCTAAAGAGCAGAGGGCAAAAGGTTTTTATATGCGCGAGACTTTTTTGAACACCATGTCGCTTTACAAATATTTTCAGAAGTGAAAACTTATTTTTTGGTCAAAAGGAGGCTAAGTGAAACAGCGAAAGAGAGGCTGGATGACTCACTGGAGACGTGCACTTACATTCTGCAGGTTAAACTGTAGCTGTTGTTTGTAGGGCTCGAATTCATGGGCGAGCTCATAACCCTCATGGTAGAATGTGAACAGACCCTGTAGGAAGGCCAAGAGCTGCAACCCAAACAAGATGTAAATACAAGTTTCTATATTATGTCTGTAACACAACATATCTACTGTACAGTATCTCTTCCTCTTTCTCAGTGCAAACAGGAATTTTACAAATGATTTTGTGTCAGTTGGTAAATTCTCTGAATATCTAAAGCCGTCACATAACTGCTCAACCAAAAGATTGACTTACAATTCAAAGGGATTCTCTAACTTTCAAAACGGTGTGCTAAAATAGGATTATTTTTATTTACACAAAGAAATTAATAGTACTTTTGTAAAATGTTTAAAGTCCCCCTGTAGTCAATCATTTTATCCCTTAAAACTCATCTTTGATCACCAAAATTACATATTTAAAAGTTTTTTCCTTGAAAAAAAAATCTTCATGCCTTAAAATAGCTTGAATGTAACTCTACACCCTTGCCTCATTTAGTATACGTGTTCTATAAATATGCAAATTAGCCCCGCCTCCACTCACTCAAACCATCTCAGAGATCCACTCGTTGACGATCACAGGTTGACCTGATTGGTAATAAGGTAGTTTGTGACGTCAGAAACAACAGCGATTTCAAACCGCGTTTTTGATTCTGTCTTTGGTTCACTACAGTTTTAAGGAGAAAATACTCAGCAATGGTGTTGACTTATGAATTTGCACATGGTTTGTCTTAAAGCATATTAAAAACACCACATAGACATATAAACAACATTAAAAGCAGGATTTTCACCACAGGGGGACTTTAAAAACAATGAACACACATTAGATGGAGACTGTAGTCATACCAGTAGCCTAACAAAGTGTTTAATTTTATATGAAGCAGGACGCCTCATGGGGGCGGCCATGTTGAAATCACATTGACCAGCCGAATACTAAATCTTCCTGTTATTGGAAGTTTCACTGACAAAAATCATTTAATGATGGTTGTCAGCAAATAGTGCATTTCTACAATGGCATTGGTAACTGAAAACTTTTTCTTTTGCATATTTCTGCATCCACACTACTAGGTGTCAGTACAAGTGAGGCTTAGAGAAGGGGAGAAATTATTTATTGTAAAATTACAACTTCAAATTTTTTAGGGAAGACACTTACTTAACTCACTTAAAACACTGACTGAATTGTTAATGCACAGACCTGATGTGGTTATGGTAAGTGCATTGTGTATTAAGTTATACATCTATTGAGCATTACAGTTATCCCATCTGGCCACTGGAACAATTTGACTTTCTGATAGGGACTTTAGCACAAGACTTCAAAGATGCTGATGTCTCAAGAGCAGAACAGACTGCGGTGCTTCTGGTAGATTAACAGCGTTGTTTTCCCCATGCCTGGTGATAAACAGTGGATGCCCCTCTAAATCTATACAGCGCATTGTCTGACTCACTTTACTGCTCACACTTATGCATATAAATATGCTTAATGCAGGAATGAGTCATGCAAATTCTGTCCACTGTTGTAATATGTGAGGTTCAGCTGTTGTGTATTTTATGCGATCTATTTGCTGAGTGGAGATTTAGATGGCAAACATGAAAAGAACCTCAAAAACTAGAGTAAAAGCACTTCCTCTCAAACTATTTTTAAGGGCAGGAAACTTTTAATTATTGGTTTATAATTGAAGGATCAACTTTGTCTCAAAGGTTCCCCTCAAAAATGTGTTAGAAGAAATAAAAATAGACTCAAATGAACATATTGTTGTATTTCCAGTAAAAGAAAAGAATTAGGCATTGATGTCATTGACAATGAAAGTGGAATGCATCATAGATCATTTGGTACTGGACAAATTTGGTGAGACATGTTTGAGGTTATATTGAGATTTCTGACTTTTGGTTGCAAATTGCAATTCACCCAAAAATGAAAATTCTGTCATCATTCACTCACCCTAATGTTGTTCCAAACCTGTATGTCTTTCTATCATAAAAGAAGGTATTTTGGTTAATCTCTTTTTTTGGTCCATACAGATGGAAATCAATGGAAACCAAAACACTTTGTTTGCCAACATTCTTCAAAATATCTTGTGCTCTACAGATAAAGAAAGTCACACAGGTTTGGAATGAAAGGATGGTGAGTAAATGATCGAATTTTCATTTTTTGGGTGAACTATCTCCTAAATAGTTCAGGGGTGATTGTGGGACAGGAAATGACAGCTGAGGTTTGATTAAGTTGGCATGATAAGAGTGTGATTATGACTTCAGTGGTCAAACTCTCAACCTACTTCCTGTTGGCTACAAAACCATTAGTGACCAGATGGCTTGATTCTCATTACATTACACATCATGATGGGCATCTGATTTGTTTTTCAGGAGTTACATTTGTCTACACGTTTTCGTGTTTATGTGCATAAGAATGGCTTTGTGTGTATTTGTGAGCTTCAGTTTGTGAGACAGACACTTCAAGTCTAAATATAAGAGGAATAATATGCATCACAAAGATCTTACCGGCTCAACAAATTCAAATTTCTTCTTCTCTTGAACCTCCTGGATTTTGAAGACGTATTCTAGCGAGGCGTCATAAAAGAGCTGCCTTTCCTTATCAATCTGAGCGTCAGCCTGGAAATGAACAAAGAGCGCTGTTACCCCAGAGACAGACAGAAAGCGATGACTGCCAGGCTTGTACGCTCATTTGGATGTGCCCAAGGCTTTGGTTAATCGTTACATGTGAGAATTTCTGGCACAGCTTTGTGAGAATTTGTGTAACAACAAGCTAAACAAACGCATCGGAACATCTCTGAACAGCAGGAAAGAGGAATAAAAAAAAAAAAAAAAAAAGGAACTAAAGCTTGTAAACCCTGATGTTTTTAGAAGGATTAGTCACCCAAAAAATGGAAATTTAATAATTTTTTACTCATATGTTGTTTAAAATCCATATGACTTTCTTCTGCGAAACACAAAAGGAGAAATTCAAGCTTTCAATTTTCAAAAAGAGCACTAAGGACTATAGAAGTTCATTTGACTTGTGGGTTATTACGTTCCCATTTATTGTAATTGAATGGAAAGTGTGGAAAGTACATTACTAAAAAAATATTTTTATGTTTTACAGAAGAAAGTCAGGTTTAGAACATCATGAGGATGAGTAAATTATAAAAAAAGAGTTAACTATGCATTTAAATAAATTACATCACAAAACTGTTGTCATCAAAAAAGCCAACGTGTACACAGTTTCAGTTTTACATTTGCTATTTGATTTTGTAAACACTTTAAGAAAATGAAACTTGTCGTTTTGCATACTGACTTGCAATCGTCTTGCATTGATTTGCATACAGAATTTTGATCGGTTGACTTCCTTGCATATATTTAACCATTTATACTCACCACTATATGCTGCCTTCACGTGCTATTGAAAATTTCCTACCTCCGACTTCTGAAGTTGTAATTTTGAGCTTGTCACGTTCAAGTGCTTTGTTGTCGAAAAGAATAGAGATCATGGAGGAGACCAGGTTTATTCTTGGCTATTTCTTTGGGAAATCTTATTAAAGCCAAAATGTACTGAAGATATTTAATTTTGAATAAAATGTAGTGTCCCATTCATTGACAAGACAACCATATAAACTTTCACCGTGGTAACTTGCTGACGATTCTGGAATTTTAAAACATACAAAATGCTTCGAATGGTTATTCATATATGTAAATATGCATTAATTTAACAACAAGACAAAGTGGTGTAGCTGTTGTGGAAAAAATAAATAGCAGTCACAGCAGCAGTCGTTCTCTCCTCCGCCATGTTTAAAGTTCAAGGTCTGCCAACTCGGAAACTTGGGAATCTCCCGGTACTAAATACGACTTTAGGCGTTTATGTCCTATTTCCCACTAGGAAACTGATATTTACAATAATTCCGATAGCACATGAAGGCAGCATCTCACACATACAGTAAACATTTGCAAATAAAGCACCGTTTCCATCCCATGTGATCAAGACAAAATCGTCACTGAGAAACTAGCGCAAAATATATGAAGGTAATATGATGCCATAAAGAATCGCATGCGCAGTGTGAGATTTGTGAAAGTTTTCATAAGATTGCAAGCGATAATAAAATTTGCATGCGCAAGAGAAAATTTGTAAAGGTGTAAATCGCCTTTCAAGTGTAAGAAAAAAAAAATATTTGCAGCATTTTACTGTTATTCGTAAGGCCTGCAATGCTTTTGGTCGTATTTGTGTGAAAAAAAAAAACGTGCCAAAAGTGTAAGCGCGGAAAATTGGAAGTCAGAAGAATACAGATCATATTTATTTTGCGTTAGCATGAAGCTGCAGTTTCACAATACATGAATTACACTTACGAATAACAGTAAAATGCTGCAAATATTTATTTCTTACACTTGAAAGACGATTTACGCCTTTATAAATCCTCTCTTGCGCATGCAAATTTAATTTACACTTGCAATCTTATGTACACTTTCACAAATCTTACCCTGCGCATGCGATTCTTTATGGCATCATATCACCTTCATAAAAATATCTGTAAAAAAAATGGAAGTTGCTGCAATCAGGGAAGCCACTCTAGCTCTTTTATCCTACATCATAAATGATGAAACACTGTCATGTTATTTTGCGTTTGGATATATATCATGTGAGATGCTTCTGGGAGTGAATTAAATCAAATCATTTTGATGACAGACTTTGCTCAGACATTTTAGAATGATCAATCCAACATTTGAGATGCTGTACAATGGAATCGGTCCACTGGTTAATCCAGTTATCCAATCATCCACTTTTAAAGTTTTTTTGTTGCGGACCGTGGGATTTATTCGGTAAATGTGTTTCCATCGTAGTTTATGTGCCATGTTCTCTTACATTGAAAATCATCCACTTCAATTGAGCCCATAAGTTTTTTTAATGCACATATTTTGAATATATGCACATCTTGCCATATATTGTCAGCGTTTTTTTTTTTTTTTGTGTGCAATATCCCAAAATGTGCATTAAAATAGGTGGATGTAAACATAGCTACTGTGAGTCTTGTGCACAGCAGACAGAAAGCAAGATATCATGATGGTAAGGCACTTCTAATGCAGCACTGCATCAGAATTAAGACTAAAACCTAAACCTACTAAGATTCTTTCTTGCAAGCACTGGTATTTCCTATGGAAAGTGCAAAACTAGACTTATTTATGGAATGATTCACCTCTTGGAGAGCCGATTCCTTTTTCCTGGATGACAGGTTGAGATGTTTTTCCAGTGTGGAATAGTACTTTTCCGTCTCCTTGTCAAATTTCTTCTTTCCCTCCTATGAAAAACAAATTGTTTCTGGCATTAGTTGTTTAGTAGTGTATTAAGTCAGTTCTCTGTGTCATAACAGATTAACCACAGGTGAAAAAAGACTTCAGTTGATTATGAACATGTAACACTAACATTTGACAGCTACAAAGTGTCTGAATACTTTTGTATTTATTTTGAAAAATATATCTATCATTTTATCATTTAAAACCTAACAAACAAATCTTTTGTAAAAAGTTAAGCGTGGAAATCTTTCTTTAAAAGTGGGGCCCTCATATGCTTGTGTTGTGCCAGTCAGGCCATTAGGTGGCACTCTAATGCTTTATCACACAGAGCCCGTTCTTGTCTCCCACTGATATGTGTAGTAACTGCTTAAAAAACAGTTTAGCACATAATTGATATATTGCATGAAAATAAATATAGTCGCTCTGAAATGAAATGGTATAAATCAAGCTTAAAGATGAAACTTAATCATGCATAGTTCCAAGATAACAAGATTCATTCCTTTCTGTTCTCAGGAGACACAGATCAAATCACACAATATTCTTTCCATCTCATTTGGAAAATATGCACAATCGCATGTCCATGGGTCAGCTTTTAATAATTTATCATTTCCTGATAGAAGCAAGCAGACAGAAAAGGTTTGCATTTGTCTCAATGCTGACTCAATGGCACAGGTAGTATGGAGTATGTTCGCTCAAGCATACGAGTGGAAGATTTCAAAATCAAACAAAAAAATATTCTAAAACTTCAGCCAAAATAATCAAATTACAGCAACACAAACTCACAAAGTAGGCTCAATGTCATGGGTATTAAAAGTCAAGATGGCAAAAGTTACTTTGTCATAAAACACTATTTTTGAAAGGCCATCAATGCAAATATGCTGTGTTGGCAGCACAATGGTGTAGTTACTGTGGCTGTGTCCGAAAGCTAAAAGAAATGCTGCCGGAGGTAAGAAGGTAACAAGGCATTCGAATCAAATGATAGTGTGACATTTTGTTTACTGAGATACTTTCATCTGATCGATTTTTGAAGGCTGCATAGATGTACCCTTTGCTGACTATAATATCCCACAATCCTGTGTTCAATCATGTCCGATTCCTGAGCTTAAAAATAAAAACTGCATCTGAAAGTTGCGCTTGGTGGTCAGTTTTTGTCTAAGAGTGTTCACACTTGGAGTTCGGTTCTCTTGGTTCTTTTGGTCCAGATCAAAAAAGAAACATTTAGTCCTGGTTTGCTTAGTGTTCACACTGTCATTTTTAACACTGAACTGTATGGAAGCTTGTTTCCGCCACAGAATGAAAAATAAAAAAGGTAATTGCGACTTTTTATCTCACAATTCTGACTTTTTTTCTCACAATTGCTAGTTTACATCTCGCAATTCTGACTTTATTTCTCACAATTGCGAGATATAAAGTCAGAATTGCGTGATATAAAATCGCAATTGCGTGTTATAAAGTCAGAATTGCGAGATAAAGTCAGAATTTATTGAAATAAAGTCGCAATTGCAGGTTATAAAGTCAGAATTGCGTGATATAAAGTCGAAATTGCGTGTTGTAAAGTCAGAATTGTGAGATATAAACTACTCTGAGGGGAAATAATTTAAGAAATAAGTCTTTTTCCTCCCTTAGAATTGGCCTGATAACTCGCAATTGCGAGTTTATATTTCACAATTCTGAGAAAAGATGTCAGAATTTCGAGATGTAAACTCGCAATTATGTGTTTTTTTTTTCTCGCAATTGCGACTTTATTTCTCAGAATTGCGACTTTATATCTCAGAATTGCGACTTTATATCTCGCAATTGCGACTTTATTTCTCACAATTCTGACTTCATATCTTGCAATTGTGAGATTAAAAGTCGCAATTATTTTTTTATTTTTTTTATTCAGTGGCGGAAACAAGCTTCCATAGAACTGACGTACAAAACAAAACAACAAAAAACAAAACAGCTTTTATGATGTATATTTTATGACGGAACTTACAGAGCATCGAAAATAATGCAGCATAAATGCACTCGTTGTATGTGCGTACATATGATGGTATTTTTTACCAGCTAAGAATTCACAAAAGGCTTATAACATCAGGGAACTACACTAACATTTTCCACTGGTGGCACTTGCGCTACTAACTTTTTCAGTTACTAGCGCAAAACATGATTTGGTCGCACAAATTATTTATATAGTAGGCCGCTCTGGATAATAATGACCAATAGTGAAACTGTATTGCATACAGATGTGCTTTTTATTTTACTCTCCATCTTTTAAAACACATGCCTTCTTGTTTTCTTTAAAAATGGTTGGGATAGATTTACTGCAATAGAAAATACAGTAGCCTACACAATAAAGTGCTAAATTAATTTCTTTTGGATTTCACCATGCTATGGTTGGCACAGATGGGCAGACTTCTGAACTCTTAAGGAAAAGTAAAATAAATATAATATGTCATTGTGAAGCTTCAATGATTCGTGTTTGAATTGTTTTGACGCAGTTACAAATTTGGACAGTCCTGCAATTGAAGGCCCACAGAATTTACAGTAGGGCTGCACGATATTGGTAAAAAAATGACATTGCGATATTTGATTTTTCTGCGATATATATTGCGATATAAAAACAATTTCACCAGATGACTTGAATAGCTCTACTTGGAAAGAATGAATCATTCTAGAATGACTCTTGAGTTCAGTGTTGGACAGATCAGTTGTTATTTTAACCATTCATTAAAGTGAATCGGTTAAAAGGAGTCAGTTCGCGAATCGGACGTGTCATTAACGGACCACGGCACACGTTGTGTGATTATCCAGGCAGTTTAGGACATCGCACAAGATTTGTCTCAACACAGAAAACATTTCATCACCAGATAGATTTTTTGTTTTGTTTATTGAAAGAGTGGTTTATGCCATCTGAATGTGTGGAAAGCTTTTCAGAGAAGATGAGGCAACGTTATTTTAGCACAATTCACAACCAGTGGTAGTTCAGAAAAAAAAAAACTTCGGTCTTCCGACCTTTTACCATCGTGTATTCTCAAAGATATTTAGTCAACTCAATTCATTATTTTGAGCGAGGGAGGGAGAGAGAGCGCGCGCGCGACTGGGGCTTTCACTCTCTCTGCTCGTTCTCTCAGTTAAACAAGCGCGAATCCGCGAAGCCAACTTGATGTGTTGAATGCTCAGAGCGCGTTATAAAACGTAGGCCTATTCTTAAAATACACATTTCTGTTTTAATAAATGCTCATAGTAAATCATAGCATATTGCCTAAAACATTAGGTAGGTACAAAAATAATCAAACGGTGATACATTTGCGACCCATTAAAAATTAGGGTCGCAATGGCATTTCAAAAGGTCGCATATGCGACCATTTTGGTCGCAGTGTAGTTCCCTGAACATGTGTAAAGGACTCAAAACAGCACCAGAAATTCCTTCATTACACAAACAAACGAAGATCTGCTTCAAGATAATGCCGTTCTGATGCCTTTACTGATCTTTATTGGACAACTTCACGACTATGACGAGAAAAAATGCTTGAGCATTCTGTCCTTTTTAGGGTAACATCTTGCGACATCACGTCCTGGTTTGTTTAGATGTCTTTGGTCCGTCATATTTCAGTCGAACCGCAGTTCATTGGGAAGTGGGCTGAGACTCAACTTTTCAGTGTTCTCGGTCCGCTTGTTTGGTGCGCATCAGGGTTCGGATGGCAGCGTTCACACTTATTCAAGTGAACTACACTAACGGAGCAATTGTACCAGAAATTGTTTTAATCGAACCAAACCTATCAAGAGTGAACACCCTAAATGTACGTTTTTGACCAACTTTTTCTACTTTTGATGTAATTTCTAGCAGGAAATTAGTAATTAAACATTCTCTAGTTATCAACAAAGCTTTCTATTTTGTTGAAGATCATTAAACCGTTATGCTGCCGTAAAGTCTGTTTGAAAAAATGTGTGAGGTACCTTCTTGTGCAAATGCGGCCTGCAAAGCCTGATAAAGCAGCGAGGCAACAAGTCAGCTGCCTAAGCTTTCAGGTGCAGTCACTTCAGTGCTCAAACATTATTATTTTTGTTTCGCTTCACTTACCATACAACTGTGGTCTTGGACTTTACACTGACACCTGTTGGCGTGGAGGCACCATCACACAAATGTAAAGATTTTTTTTTGTTGCTATTGTAGAAACTCACAGGTAAATAAGTCAAAAAATATTCACATGCATATTTTTCACCCATGATTATAATAAATAGTGTCTAATAATAATGGTGTGACTGAGATAAAGTGAGTAGTATTTAGCTGGTCATGTGATCTCAACATGGCAGCCACCATGAGGAGGAGAGCCACCGTATGCTAAATAAAACTGCTGTTTTTTTTTGTGGAAAACTTTACCTAGTGCACATTTTATAGGCCAGCTTTAGATGAAAATAAAGAGGTTGAGGAGTAAAGAAATGTGAATGATGAAGAGGAGAATTCTGAATTTAAAATTTGGATATCTATCTGCTCCTTCCATCCCGTCACAAATCACAAGATAACTAACTTCACGAGAGGAGATGAATTTCCACAGGAGAATCCACAACACTGAACCCTCCAAAGGCCCTGACTCCACTCAGTCTGTTTTCACACCTGAGTTGTCTGCCCGAGGCCTTTCATGCAGCGATGCAATACGTGGATTCTACAGTTATCGCAATATTCAAAGGTCATATGTAAATTTTAAAGTGCTCTATTTCTTTGTAGCAACTCAAGTGCTGTTCTGAGTGGGAGCATGGGAGATGACAGAGTGGTTTGGACCACTGTCAAAAGAAACAAGCTGGGTTTTTTTTAGCCAAACGCATGAGTTTCATACATGTGATCCCAATAATTTTCGAACACCTCCCTAATTTTTCCATTAAAAAAATGTGCAAAAACGTCCAAAAATGCAAGCAGAAGTACTAGATTTTTACATTTTCTTAAGAAAACATACAGACAAATTTTAATACTGATCACAGTATACATACTGCACACAGTGTTCCCCAGGGTTCTGTCCTTGGG